ACGTTCACATCGTTGCTGGACTCTTGAACAGCTTCAAGACAGAGGAATGGACCATCAATTTTCACAACAAGTTCCTCTGGTTTGAAATAGGAAGTATCAAGATAGATGGTAAAACGATCTTCATTATCGATCATCTGAACATTGAAAATGATAATTAGGACAATTATAAATAACTCACAGGCTGATATTCCTCTCCGAAACCTCGGAAGTTTCTCGTTTCTTGTTCCAATGTAGAACATGATTCGCTTTTGAACGTATGCATTAGAGATAGAGGTAATGCAGGGATTGAAAATTCAGAACTTGAGTCAGCAGTTTGCATCATGACTTATCAGCGCCAGAAGTCTGTTCTATTTCGAGATTTTATACCATTTTCTCACCATCATTTGATGACCATGCACAATTCTTAAATCGATAAGAAGTAGCAACCAGTGTTGTTCAATAAAGGCTTTCAATGAGAGTATTTTAAAAGTAATCAACAATTCGCAATAGAGCACGTATTCTGCTCTCAACGTGATTTTGAAGGGAATTCGAGGGTTTTTTCATCGAATTTTTTGACGAAGACAATAAACAAACAAGTTATCCGGATTTAAAATGAAATTCTGATATGAAACAACGTTCGAAACAAGCAGTTTCATCAATTTTGAGCCAAGTTACATCGTTCTCCCGAAAGAGAACGACCGGGTCATTTTTTTTTCACGTAAAAATTATTTTCACGTGGCGCGTTTCCGCGGGGGTATTTAAGCTGTGAATTATCCGAATCACGTCAGTTGGCGGTGTGAGCCGGTGAGCTCCACTCCTCTCTCTCTGGAGGTCCTTCAGAGAGGACAAAAAGCTCATCGGTTCCTAAGTCAGGAATGAGGCCTGGACATGTCCGGGTCTCACCTGAGACGCACCGAAAGCTTGCAGTCAATCCAAACCGCTCAGAACGGTGGCATTCTAACTCCTACCGTCCAGAACGGTTGCATTCCACCCCTACCGTCCAGAACGGTTGCATTCCATCCCCTACCGTCCAGAACGGTTGCATTCCATCCCCTACCGTCCAGAACAGTTACATCCCAATCCCTACCGTCCAGAATAGTTACATTCGAGAGCTTTAAATGAGGTATCCCAGAGAGACGTTGTCCATCATCATCAAAATGTTTATTGAATTTCTGTATTTGTAATGCTGTATCATTATTTTAATTGTTTTCGAGAAATGTGAAAGACGAAATTTTGAAATAAGCAATCAGGAAGACCATAATTTTCATAACAAACTCGTGAAATAAATCACAGAATGACGTCGGAAATCAGAGCTGTTACGAAAACGGTACTGATCAACGTATTAGAGCCTGATACACGTACAGTACGTAGAGACTCTTCATTGTAAACAAACAAGTTAAGGAGAAATTGAAGTCGAAAATAAAAACTGATCATCACTGACTCTACTTATGACGTTCAGACTGGTAATTCCTGGCACATTTCGATGAGTTGTCCGTTATCAATTTGTGTTGTTATTCCTCAGCCTGTGGTTCTCTTAAGGCTTTCATTCTGCTCAGTTAGAGCCGTTATTTTCGTTTCACAGCTTCTGTACGATCTGAACTTGATTTGAACTACAGAATAAGTTAAAAAACAAGATCATTACCTGAAAAAGGGGGAACAATAAACGAGGAAAATGAGCAAAAGCTATAGAATATGGATATTTCATATGAACTATTTGCGGCAGAAAAGGAAGTTGAACAAGTGCTCGAACTTCTTTACAAGCGGGCAGTTTTCGTGGCAGCTGTAGAAACGAACAGCTTGGATGAGGCATTAACATCGGTCACTTTGAACCCTAATAGCTCTTTCACTCTGTTTCTGAATTCATTATTCAGAAGAATATAAATGAAGAAGTTGATTCCAGAGTTAATACATGTAAAATAAGACGATGGTTTGGATATAGCGTCAGCTACCTGTAGTTTCACAATAACATGGAGTTAAACTTCGAGACTTACTTCCACGAACAGAGCGGACATGATGGAGATTATGTTTGGAATTGACACAAGAATCATAGATAACAGAGAGATGAGCAATGTGTAACGAATCCGTTTAAGTTGATGTTTGCCTGATCTATAAATTTTATATAAGAAACGAATTAACCGTATAAGAAACAATGTTATCGTAGACAAGGCTTTGATGACCGCCCATACATTGAAGAACAAACCAAACAAGTAGCCGATGATATTCGTTGCATAAATGAAGACACCATACTCATTTGAAAAAGCAGCTTTTCTTCCGCAAAAGTATTTTGTCTGAAAAAAAAGGCATTGCAAAGAGTAATAAGTTAGAACCGAGTTACTTTGACATCACGATTGATGAATGCAATAGCAAATCCAACCAGTAATGAGATAATCACAAACACAATACTAGGAATAACCATGACTGTAGTTCTGAAAATGTTTGATAATGGGTATGAATGATACTTTAAGCAAATGAAGTGTACCTATGCTTTCCAAGCTTCTTGTACAAGAGCGGGAAAGACACTGCTATGAATCGTTCAGAACCCATCAGGAGCTGTATAATCGGTGGCCAAAGATCTCCTGAAATATTACTTTCTAACAGAACAATAGTCATTGCTCGTAATACCTATTCCACGTAACAGGAGCCATGGCTCTGTTGCACATTGCCACGAATTACGAATAGGTATGAGGTTGGTGCGAAGAACTCCACTATACAATTGAACCCTATTCATTCCCATGAAAAAAATTGCCAAGCAGTTCATAGCATCGGCTATGTTGAGGGCGATGAGTATCTGTAGGACATAAAGAAGATTTAGTGTTATCAACAGACTTACTTGAAAACGGTTTCTTAAAGCTTTACTGGTAACAAAAATAAAAAATAAAGGAATATTGAAAGCAAAACAAGTTGCTCCAAACACAATATTCAACGTATGGTACTGTATGTTGTCGGACATTCCTGTTATGACTGATCCAGCTGGCTCATAGCCAGCTGTTGTATTTGCCATATGAAGTGATTGGAGTGAAGCAAAAGTTGAAACTGAAAACTCAAGCTAATGATACTTCCAGGCAAGCACCAATGGTTTAGTGCAATTCCAATGAAGCACGAGAAACAGCGAGAAGCTAAGCAATGCCGAAAAATGGCTTAATAGAATAGATACTTAATATTTCTAATGAATTTGAATATTTAAATAGATTTTACAGGGAATTGAAAGCGATTCCACGGGTTAAAAAGATCATGAGAAAGCGGCTTTTTCTGAAATATTTTAATATTTATTCGTTCTCCTTATGCAGATAATAGAAGATATAAGATATATACTCTTAATTGAGTTTAGCAAAGCAATTGAATGGAATTCTCAATTTGACATCAGAAACCATGTAGTTGATGATGATGATGATGATGATGACTAACGATGAAAACAAAACAGAATATTTTCCGCCTGCCGTAGTAGGGTAGAAAAGGAAAATTCACTCAACACATGCCTTTATAATCAAATGGAGCCATTACAAGAAACGCTCCATGACTTATCCCTTTTGGAATTTGTTTATCATGCTTCTTGCAAAAACTAACCAAATAGATTTTCGAATAACTAATTCAAGTTAATGAACCTGCCTCACACACACACACAACCGTTCGGCTCGCAAGAAACTGAATGAATGGAAAACGAACATGCCCGCAGAAAGCTCACGTAGCTATTACGCTATTAGCATAAATGAAAGCGTGTAACTGAATTTGATCGTTGAACTGCCACACCCGCACACATTTTCATTTGTTTCTACCGAGAGCAAAACATATTCTAGGTCCTTAGCATGAAGCGACATTTATGAAAATGGACAAATTCGAATTTGATTCAAATGTCATGCTCGTTGACACCATCATTGTAAGAACGATAAACTACTTTGTTTGAGTCATTCTCGTCTCCATGAGACGGAAGCTTGTGACCCATAAGATTAAAAGTAATTCGATTGCAAATATTCATTCATCTTCTCTAGTAAAACAATCTCAATAAATAATTTCCGTATTTCATCAGGTTAAGTAAGTTAGTAGAAGGTTAATGAGTTTATCCAAGTACTTGCTTGAGATTAAGCTGTAATCATCTTAATTAGGGGAAGATCAGAAGATCAAACTTACAATTCCAACATGATTTCCGAGATTGAATTGAACAATATTCTCGGCAACCTCAACAGCAACGCGAAGTTGAGCATCAATGGTAGAAGCTCCCAAGTGTGGGGTAACGATAATCTTAGGATGTTTGAAAAGTTTCTCGTTCTTTACTGGCTCCTAAATAAAAGTTTGAAAACCAATTAACTAGACTGCTGAACCTCTTCGAAGACGTCTAAGGCGGCTCCTCCGACAAAGCCAGCATCGATAGCTTCAACTAATTCATTTTCAGAAATTATGCCACCTCTGGCGACGTTGATTATCTTGACACCCTTCTTGCACTTCGCGAAAACTGAATAGAAAGCACTTAAATGGAATAAAGTATAACCGGACAACCTTCAGAGTTTAACATGTTTGCAGTTTGAGGAATCAATGGAACATGAACAGTGATATAGTCTGCTTGAGACCAGATTTCATCTAATGTAAGTAATTCAATATTTTTTGAAGCAGCTTGCTGTAATATGACAAATTAAATCTTTGAAAACTATCACAAACAAACTTCTTTTGTGAGCAATGGATCATATCCAATGGTTCTCATACCAAAAGCTTGCATACGAACAGCAACTTCACTACCTATTCTTCCTAATCCCAAAATAGCGAGAGTGCGTCCGAAAACCTTATAATACTCTAGTTATATAATTCGTCATTAAAAAAATGTTTACTTCTTCTCCCATGAATGCAGCTCTTTCCCATTTACCTTGTCTCATAGACTCATGAGCTTGAGGAACATGTCTTGATAAGGACATAATCATTCCACAAGTAAGTTCAGCAGCAGAACGGGAATTGGCTTCTGAACCAACAGAACAGATAGGTGAGAAATAGATAAAACCTTACGTGGTGTATTCATGACAAAGATCTTATTGTTAGTAGCAGCGGAAACATCAATGTTATCAACTCCAGTACCAGCACGTCCAACCAACTTCAACTTTCCCTTTGAAGCGTCCAAAAGTTCAGCAGTAATCTGTAAAAGAGATCATTGTGATTAATAACAGAAGCAAGAATATGAAATACCTTAGTAGAGCTTCTGACGATGACAGCATCAAAGGTGGGCAAAGATTCGAGAAGTTGCTCTTTCGTTTGCTTAGTCTTGACAGTAACATCAATTCCATTTTTGGAAAGAACATCTAGGCATTCTTGTTCGATATTATCAGCAATCAAAACGTTAGTAATCTTCATTGTTATCCTAAAAACACAATTATGAGAAGATAAAACAAGAAAACAGGAAAAAAAGGAAATAATTATCAGCCACTCTCTCTTATATATGGATCCCATAACCGACTGACTGTCGTCATAGGTCCAATGTACGCATAAAGCGTGAATAACACAACCTAACAGAAAACACTAATCGAATGACTTTCCTTTGAATGAAATATATTCGAAAATACTTATTTGGCTCAACTTATGATGATCTATTTCTTTTGATCTTTACATATACGCAACCGTTCTATCTACCACAATTTATATAAATGATCTTTCTCACGTTGCGGCCACGTGACGATCGACTTGTTTTCACGTGAACTATTTGTTTTTGGGCGCGTTTGCACGAAGCACCTGAGAATGGCCGAAAGATAGTTTTATCATTACGTGCAGAAAAGCCATTCAAATCCGTTGATAAGAAAATACGATGTGATCTCTGCATAGATTGTTAGATCATCGCACTTCCTGCTGACATTCCTTTTAAGCAAAGTTCGTTTGAAGCTTAGAACTATCTGGATGCTTCTTCAAGTTTTATCTTATCGGCAAATGGTCAGTTAACATTGATATTTCGTGGGTTTATCGGTCATTTTCAAGAAAAAACAACATTTCAACAGCGAATTGCTGACTTGTCATGTTCACGTCTAATGATTAGTTGGTAGGAAGGAATATGAATGAGAAAAGCAATACAACAACCATGTTAATGATACTTAGTATTGCTTGGCCAGCTAATATCCAGCATAAACGAGATTATGTTTTCATGTTGACTTTCAAACTACTTTAAAACTCATTTGTTTCAATGCAATTTATAGAAAAAAACATAAAATAAACTAATATTTACAGTAGATTTTCCGAATATAATCGGAGCAGGCAGATTATTCGCTTTCCATATTGTACATCATGATCATCTCCTCGACATACCGTCCTTCAGGAGTTTCTAAGATCATTGGAATCCCTCTCAACCGCTCATCGTTCATTATCAAAGAGAATGCTTCCTAATATCAATTGATTCATGATTATAAAACAGATAGCATACCTTTCCTATTTTACCTAAGCCAATGTATTCATGTCTGTCTAGCTTGCAACCGAGATCACCTGCAACTTGTTTTAGAAAAGAAGTCTCTGTAAGGTTACGTACCTTTGCTATCATTGATGTGAAGAGCTTTCAAGTAGTTAAAACCTATAGTCTTCGCAAAACTTTTCATGGTTTTGGCATAAGCTCCTTCAGTTCTGATATCATAGCCTTAATCATATGCTTCTAAAGTTCTGATCATATGAGAAATGAAATACCTGCAGCGAAAATGTGGCATGTGTCAATGCAGACTCCAACTCTCTCCTTGTTGTCAACTGCATCAATTATTTGCCGAATTTCAGCGAAAGTTCCACCGATGGTGTGTCCAGCTCCAGCCATTGTTTCAATCACTGAAGAATCATAGATAATGCTCATGAATCGTACCTTAACAAACCAAGAGTAATATAGTTGGTGTTTGATATGATATAATTGATAGTTTCCGCAGCTGTTGCCAAACATTCTTCAATGGTACATGTGCCTGTTGTTGATCCTGAATAGAATGAAATTGGCTATTCAAGTTCATTGTTTACCCGGATGGAAGTTGTACAATTGAATTCCTAAACGTTCTGCTCGTTGACATTCATCCAGCATTGCTTCTCTCGTTTTATTTAATTTTTCTTCATCAGGAGATCCAGGATTCATGAGATACGATCCGTGAGGAACAATCATCTCCAATGGAAATTTCATTTCCTGAAGTTTACGAGATGGGGATGTGTTAGAGCACTTGAGTTCTTACCTGGACAGCATGTTTCCAATTTTCGACCACAGATTCCAACATAGGTTTCGCAACCCATTGTCGCTGATTTCTGAAAACCTGGTTGATTACTATTAGTTTTCTTTCAGTTTTGACCTCAAAAACATAGCGAATGCTCGACAACCCTCGGCAGTTGCGTTATAAATGGCTTGTTCCAATCCTCCAGCAGCGCTGACGTGGTATCCAAGCATCTGCCTACTTTGCTCAGCGTGTTTCAAAACCTAACTCTCATCATGAGTACATCAAAACAATAAAAAAAACTCACTTTTTCTCCTACTGACAAGCGAGAAACACGCTGTACTTCACTTTCTTCAACAATCCCATTTTTGGCCTTTTTCTGAACTGGTTGTTTCTTCTCTCCTCTTTCGACCACATCCTTCGTTTCAATTCCTTCTTTCACATTCTCTTGATCAGCTTTTGGGGCTCGTTCCTGCTTAACATGTCTCCTTGTTATAACTTGTTCGACTGCTGCCCTTTTGACCGGAGTTTTCTTATTCTTAGATGGCAAATACTTGAACTCTACAAATTACAATTAGAGAATACGAAGATAAGTCACTAACCCGTTTCTGATGAATCACTTTCCATGTCCGAGCTATCTGAGTTCTCAGGGCTTTCTTCTGGAGTATCTGAAATTATAAAAAAGAATTGAAATATGAGAAGAATTATACAACCGCATCTATGTGACCCCTCGCTTGTAAATAATCTTAAAAACATGAGGACACGTAAACGTCAAATTATGCCAATTATGAAACCTTTTCCGTCAGGGTTGATATTAAAACAAAAATTTCACCTGATGAGCAACACAGCAATTCTTTTGTCTGTTTGACGGTTTGTAACTTCCCTTTGGGAACGGGGGAGATTGTTGGAACAATATCTTCAGTGAAACCATCGCTGTCCGAAGATATCACAATGTTTCCTGAAAATCAAAGCTAGATGTACAGAAATATATCAACGAGAACTTCTGGTTCGAACGGTCTTCAAACTGCTTTTAACTGGCTCAGCTGATATTTCTTTCTTAGCTTGACTTCGCAAACTTTTCTGGACAGCTGGTTTCAGTGCGGGAGTCTCTTGAATTAAAATTGCTCAACCTGGTTAAAACTGACACGAACTTTCTACTTTAGTTTTACTTGCAGCCTTAGCAGTAATTTTCTTTTCTGGTTCGCTATGCTTCTCTACTGAAATATTCATAAGTTCGATGAAACGATGAGAGGACAACCTCTTTTCGTCTTGGGTTTCACAGTTTCAGATGCGCTTTGTTCTTTCTTAGTGCCTGACTGCCCTGAAGGCTTTCTCGTTCTCAAACGACTTCTTATATCCAAAAAAAAAGTTTCGTTAATAGCTAGAATGAGTGGAAAGTAACCAGGAATATCAGAATTAGTTTCGCTGTCAGTGTCATGTTCCTGTATTTGAGAGTTACTCTTAGCTTTATTAGTTGCTCGAGCCATTTAAGATGAAACTATAAAAGAAAATACGACAAAGATAAAATTCTCTTTACTAACGAACAAACAAACAACATAAGAATCATCATACAAGTAACAAGAAGGCTTAACAAGTTCAAAATTGGATGACCGGGCAAAAATGTACGCAATCTTACAATTAACAACGTCTTATGGCCGGACAACCGGGCTTGTATTTTGGTTTAGGTGGTGTTCTTTTAATTCTTCTACGACGTCGTTTCTTCTCTACCTTTGGTTGGACCACTTCCGTCGTTTCAACTGCTTGTACCACATTCTCTTGATCAGCTGTCGGGGCTGTACCTTCTTGAGATGTTTTCTTGTTGCTTTCTTTTCTAAGTAGTTCAAAGGGAGTTAGGATTGTTCTCCCTTTGAGCATAGGATCTTTTTTTACAAATTGGGGGGACTTCTTGGGCGGAAGTTTCTTACTTATAAATCGTTTGTAGTACTCTTAAAACTATAGTAAGAAAGTGCGAAGATGAGTCACTAACCTTTTTTTGCTAATTCCCTTCTCATGTCCGAGTTCTCAAGGCTTGCTTCGGGAGTATCTGAAGTTATGAAAATGGATTGAAGGATGATGAAAAGAGAATCACAACCGCATCTGTGTGTCATGGGACAAGTAAATAACCCCAAAACGTGAGAACACGCCAACATCAAAATATGCTAATTACCTTCTTTTGACTGTTCGGGGGAGATTGTTGGAACAACATTTTCAGTAAAACCATCACTGTCCGAAGATGGCAGAAGCTTTCCTGATCTCAAACGTCTTCTATTATCAAAAAAAAAAAGTTTCGTTAATAGCTGGCATGAGTGAAAAAGAACCAGGAATATCAGAATTAGTTTTGCTGTCAGTGTCATGTTCCTGCGTTTGAGAGTTACTCTTAGCTTTATTAGTTGCTCGAGCCATTTAAGATGAAACTATAAAAGAAAATACGACAAAGATAAAACTCTGATTATTAACAAAAAATAGCATTCATCCAGCATAATAGAATATTCTGAAGAGTTCATCATACACACTTAGTTTGAAAGTCTCGAGATGGTTAAGCTAATAAGGAAACTTTAAAACGAGCAAGACATACAAGTAACAACCCATTCGATAAGAGAAAGGGGGAGCTTCACAGGTTCAATAATTTGAATAACCGGGCAAAAAAAGTACGTAATCTTACAAATGAAATGCCGTTGCGAATAAGACTACACAGAACAGGAAATCTATCCGTACCTATCCGAACGTAATACAAACCTTATAAGCTTTCTAACTTTCAGTATCCTAATTATACAATATCTCATATATACGGCATATATAACTATACATATACATATCCAAAATAGGTAAAAAAAAAATAACAAAATCTGCTTGTAAAGATCATACAAACGGGCACAGCGGATTTCATGAAGTTTTGAGATGAACACACGTATTCGGATAAGATGATAAGTTTAGGCAATATGTGATTTCGAAAATTGCTTCGTTAAGCTTCGCTGACACTACTCAATTGGATACGCAGCGGGCGCTCTTTCCTCCTACAGATAGTTGCGTTAGTTGACGACGTATTATCCTAAAAATTGCGACTTTTCTTTCCCGCCCGTTAATTTATTCAAACCTTAATCGTTATCTGCTTCCTTTCCTCTTCGGTTATTTCTTTCCTCGGCTCTGCTGTGTCTCTGAAAAAAAAAACATGTTATAAGAAATTCCGGTAGATTCAGCTTACCTATAGTAAATCACTCTGATGCCGATTTTCTCCAGCGAATCGACGTTTGTCTTACTCGTCTGTTCCGTCACAAACACTCCGGCTCCGTCCAATAGTTCCAATCGTGGTTTGAGGAATGGCCATTTCGCTGTTTCCCAAGTTGCTGTTGCAGGCTGTTGAAATAAATGAATAACCGAGGATTCTAGCGATAACTAACCTCGGTGATCTCTATTCGTTCCACTGGTATACCGGTGTATTTACTGATAGCATATCTTATGGCATATATGTGATTAGCCATATCAGTCGGCACCATCACTTCGTGTATGGGGCCTACTTCAACTGTTGATGGACGGAATCTTCTGACTAGCAGGGGTTCTCCCTTCATTCCAATCACTTTCTCATCTGAATGTTAAAAATGAAAGTAGGCCCAAATTACAAATGTACCTGTTAGGATTTGCAAGTAAATCGCATTGTTCCAAGTATTACGTGTGTCAAGCCGCCTGTTCGGGTATAGCACTGTCCTCGAGGTCATTATTAAGTCTCTCAATCGCATTCTGTAACCGAAATTTTGATAAGTTGATTGAATTTAAAGAAACCTGTTGAGCTCTAAATGAATACCGTAGAGCTCGTGATAGAGCCTCTGACACCTTAATAGAATATCTCCAATGAAGACTTGCTTCGAGGCAGGAATATCGAATAAGTTTTTCCAGTTTTCTTTCTGAAAATGCAAAAACTGAACACGGAAGCTCAACTGAAAATTACGATTGGCTCCTCAGTGTTGAGAAGAATTATTTTTATTAGCTTTTCGTCTTCCTTGAGAGGCGGTCGTAGTTTGATGGAAATCTAGGAGAATATGCAATGAAACAAGAATTCTTACAACACGTACCCAACTAGCGCCAGTGTAGGCAGAACTTAAGGATTCCTCATCAGGCGCTCCACTTTCGAAACCTTTATCGAGAATATCGAACTCCTGTGAAAATAAAATTGAGAAGACTTTGATGAGCTATTTTGAACCTGAGTATGTTTAGTTATCACGAACTGGGCAGAGTCGGTTTTTATCTTGCTAGTGATCCAAGACTTCAGCTCGCCCACAGTCAACCTTGAGTCAACGTCTATTGTGTAAACTGAAACAAAAACTGAGTTACGGGCCACAGTTTGTAAATATACTATTATGAGGCAGCTCCTCCGTAATTATGATTTCCCTATCGAAATTAGAGGAAGAAGGAACCATTGTGGAGCCTGAGCCAGAATCAGTTTCTAAGGACATACTAACATCAGAAAACACATCATGATCTCTTATGATTATGTTGGCTTCACAGGTTGTCTGAAAAATCAATAAACTTGAAGCATGAAAGACGTGGATACTTACCATCACATCGTCACTACCAATACCTTCGTCAGCATCTCCACCATCTGACACATTGGGAGAGGTTTGAGGAGTATTCTGGCATACGCTACCGGTACTAATTATCATACTGCCACCATCAGATATTTCGCTTGATGGGGATGTGGGACGTTGAGAATCTATAGAACGAGGCATTTCGCTCAAAACCTGAAGGCAGCATTATAAATGAGTTTTAAGAAAATGGCTTAACCTCCATTGCGGTATTCATATCAGTACATTCCAAATTCGACATGGATTCTGACCAGCATGGTCCTATGAAAGCACTACATGCCGAAGCCACACGACTTACTTCCTCTGAAAATTCAAAGTATTATTTCATTACTCTCCTCGAAACTAAATTATCTCAAGTACGTGATTCCACGTCAAATTTACGTGAAAAACAAAGCGCCTGATCATTTTTAATGTGATGAACGCGAGACGCGGTTGCACCCACGGAGTTTTCAATTTAATAAAATCCCGAGTTAAACGCACCTTCCGAGGGTAACTGAATTTTCAGTAGAAAAGCAAACTTTTTCCTGGCCAAAATTTGTAGCATCAAGCTCGACTTCAAAACATGAGGTAAGTAAACATAACAATTGGAAAAGAAAATACTTGTAAGTTCTGCTTTTGTCTGTCTGCTATAAGCTCAGGATCTTCAGCATTACCACCATCAAAATATACCTGAAAATAGAATATAATAAAGCTATACAAAGAAGGAAACCACATTGGGAGTAGCCGTATAACAATCTCGGAACTCATTCTCAATTGTACTGTTAGGCACATCCATGAAAGACATTTTGTTCATCGTGTTATCGCCTTTCTCCATGACGAGACGGTAGGTGACATATTCTCTTTGTGAATCTCCATATAACTTTCCGATCAATTCCTTCAGTTGAATTACCTGGAACATAAAGAATATAAAAGAACTCTGAATAACAACTTACATGTGTGGCAGTGCTTGGCATACATAGTAAGTAAGGTGGTCTAACAACTCGGTTTACAATATCAACTCGCTGTATGGATATTGTTCGTCCAGGCTTGACATCGAAGTAGTTTCGTCCAGCTGAAAAAAAAGTAGCAGTGAATGACTCAAATGCTCTGAAACGTACGAAGCTTGACATCTAAGAGGTAATACAAATCGTATGTTGAATGGTGGTAACTGGGATAGATGACGGATTCAATAGTCTGAACGCAAGGACATTACAATACGATAGGTGGACTAAGAATATCACCTTATCCATATCGTTCTTCGAGACATATACAGTGGTCATATTCTTTTTATCGAAGGTGATCAATCGAGCATTTCCTTTAGTTATAGATACATTCACACTAGTGCATTGGGTGTAAAAAAATTGAAAAGCCTAGAAAGTATGTTCAGCATCAATGTTGTTATAAAACTCTTACATCAGAGAAAATAGTGCTGATGCTTTTTGTTCGTGGAGTGTGTAGATCCATTTCCATTATGGGAATTTCAACATCCGACAGAATGTTCAAGCGAATGGAAACCTTTAATGATAAATGAGGTTTTTGGAAAAAAACCAAGCCATACCTTGACTAAGCTCAAACGATATTGTTTCTCTTTCTCTTTAGCCTCTTCTTGCTGTCTCCATGTTTCCCTGAGCGTTGAAATATGCTTTGGCAACTCATCGGTACGAATAAATGCTGAATTCTTGAGTCGATCAATCTTGAAACAGGACAGTAAGTGAGGTTGTAAACTAGATGGATCACCTGACGATACATCAGCATGTAAGCATTGGTATTACTACCCGACCATCCTCCATAAGCTCCACCAAAACTCCTTTGAATTTCAGATGGGCTCGTAGCTTCAACACGGCTATCGTTGAACAAGTACCATTTTCCTTGATCCATATTTCTGAACGATAAAATCTTGAGAGGACTAAACTCTAGTAGGATTACTTGATGTACGCGTAGTAATGACCACCAGCAGCACTTCCTTGGTGAACCATAACGGAGAACAGCTCATAAACAAAGCGTCCTTTCGTGTCTAATAAGTCATTAACATATTCAGGATCAATGTGTTCACCAACAGTGACCATTTCGGGATCTGAACGAACGAATAGAGAACTCTAATCGAAGAATGAATGGAATTACCAACTAAAGGTTGAGTTTGAATGTTCGGGTTCTCAGGATCATAAACATAAGCATTCAGATCTAATATATCGGGAAAAGTCATCCTAATAAAGAAATTAAAATGAAAAGAAGACATGTGAAGATGTACTTGTCGTTCAGTTTAATCCTATGCATAGTGTTATAATCAAAATCGAATCGTTTGAGTTGGATGGTTAACAAGTAAGGAAAGTTAGTAACTCGCAAACCCTGCAATTCATGAATACTATCAAGAGATGAGCGATATTCACTAACCTTGTGAGCATCTTGCTTGGAGTTACAGTTTTCACAATGATACTGATTACATCCACTTAATAACTCTGGGTCTACGAAAGCAGACAAGGCTTCTTCCTTAACATCACACTTCAATTGGGGAACAAAATGGAATAAACTGACGATGCTTTTATAAGACTCGACGGCTCCGAAAGGTTTCAGAGCTAAGGGTAGATCCAAAAAGAAATCCTTTCGAACATTTTCTTTGCCACACTTCAAACACTTGACGAAGTCCTGCATGCTACCCCTAGAAAAACATGTCCGATTGAGGAGAGAGAACAATAATAGGAAATCTTACTGATATAAATTCTGTATTAGTTTGTCGTGAGGTGAATTTTTCCATTTGACTTCTAATGCATCAAACATAAGCCTGCATAATTCTTGAACATCATGTTGATCGTAAGCTAAAGGAAGGATTTCACATCATCATATGCATTCCATGGGATGAACTACCTTCGTTACTATTCCATCCAAAACTGGCAGTTAAGTCTTTCGTCTCCAGCGCATTACAATCTGATGTTTGAAGCAAGAGGAATAACTTTTGAATTTGACAAGGTATCGAGTTTTCGGATGAGCCTTTGCCAGACTTATATTCCCAACTGCAATTATAACCATTAACGGTAAGAGAGTTGCTGGAGCTTACTTATAAATAGCATTTCGGAACTCGGGAGTCATATATAAGGATTGGATCAAACTATTTAAATAACATGTCATAGCCTTAAGTACACCGAATCAAGATTATAATGCCGATAATGGGAAGCATACCTGATTCACTAAGCCAACATAATGATGGTTATTCTCATCATGTGGGGGAGTAATGATGTGCATAGAACTGCTCATTGAAGCTGAATTACTAGAACTCGGTAAAGCTAGCGGAACTTGATGTGGAGGGCCTGAAAATGAAAGTTCAAACTCTTCTACAAAATATAGGCTGGCTAACCATATGTCGGGGAAGAAGATGTAGTTGAGCGACTTAAATGCATGTCCCCACCTGGCAGGCCACTCGTTGTGTTCAAAAATTGAACTGTAGGTTTAGGTGGGCTATCTGAGATAGACGATATCATGCTAGTGTTGCGGGAGAGATGGGAAAGAACATACCACTATTTTCACCCGCTACTGGCTTTAAATCATTAGGATCAACCACCATAACCCTGGAAAAAAAAGTAAAAAGAAAGAAAGATAAAAACAAACAAGGAGAATTTCAATGGGGTAGTTAAGCACATAGCGTGCTCATTTTGAGGCCCCTTCAGACATTTCAGGATTAAGTGGGATTGCAGAAAAGTAATAATAAGAATTGGGATTGAAGAAGCGCATCGTGATTAGTTAACTCAAACCAGGACGTCTCTCGCAAACGTCATTTTTCAAAAAGGATAACTTCAGAACAAAAGCGGAGAACAGATCATGGGGGCTGAGGAGGTGAAAGTAGCATGGAAAACATGATTTCACTACTTTTGGTTTTTGTTTCGATTGTCACTCATTCGTTCTAAAGTTGGTATTGCACAATTCTTGATAAAGAATTGTAAATGAATAGCAAAAGCTATAAGTTCACTTCAAACACATGACGAATTTCATAATAAACCGATGGGTGTGAAGACCTGTTAGAAACGTTACTCGCACACACAAGCCCGCAGACACCTGATTGAATTAGAACTGAAAGGTCTTCACGAAATGGAATAATAAGGTCATTTTCAAATGATACACACATTTAGAATCATAACTAATCTGAATGAAGCACACATGAATATGACTTGTAAAAGTTTGAATCAGAAATTGTGATTTCTTGGTCGACTACTGAACTTCATATGCGCCAAGAATGCGTCAAATGCGCAAATAGTGCATTTTGACGTAATCTTAGTGCATAAACTGAGACGGACAACTTGCACTATCCGACCAGGTGCGCCCCGATAATAAGATTTCTCATTGTGTGTGAGTGTCGAAAGATTGTTACATGATTTCATTAGATTCAGAAGAAAAAAACAGACACAAGCTATCGAATTTTCAGCTCAATTTCCTCAAGTTTATCATTGTGGCATATCATTCTGCCAACATCGGCTGGGAGTGTTGCTATTTCTTTTTGAAGAGATCCATATTCGTCAAAGAACTGAACTAATTGAACCTATCGCCTTATGCAATTCAATCGTGTATTACGACGTTTTTTTGAAGGAGCGTTTATCTCTAGGTAAACGATTGTTCGTTATCTCTAAGTTTGGAACATATAAAAGCATGGTGAACCTCATGTTTCGAAGACTTCTTTGTGTTTTCCTCAATAACTGTCTTATTTGATTTGTGAGATATGTTTGTGTCGTACGTGGATGATCTATTTTCGTTCATGAAACCAGTTTCTATCCTAACTTCCCTATTCATAATTCTCATTTGTATTCCTTCATTTTACAGAAAGATGGTGAAACTCGAAGTCGCTTATTTGGGAATGCAATGCTTCTGGGGCGAATCTGCCTGGGCTAAGGTTAGTTTCGATCTCAAACTCTTCTACTTCTCCCTTTTAGAACAAAGGAGTTCGTGTAACCCGAGTTGGATATGCTGGAGGTGAAAGCTCCAATCCCACCTACCAAAGCATTGGTGACCATACTGGTACGGGTGTTTGTGTCAACATTGACTAATTCACTCTTTCAGAAATCACTGAAGTCACTTTCGACCCATCCATCATCACCTATAGAGAGGTGAGTATTTCTATTTTTATGTTTTAAATAAGCTAGTTTGAATGCAGATCTTGAACTTCTTCTGGACCCATCACAACCCTGCTGTTCACAGAAAGAAGCAATACCAATCTGCCATCCTCTATACAAGCCCTGAACAGAAGGATGCTGCCTTGGAAACGCTCGAGGCAACCAAGGTAGTTTTTGCGCAAGAATCGTGATGATATTAGTGGTATTTAGAGCAAGGTAGAGGATGTCGAGACGTACGTTAAACCTTTGAATGTATTCTATGAGGCTGAAGCTTACCACCAGAAGTATTGGCTTCGTAATGCCCACGATATCTTCCGAGAGGTTTGTTGTTTGCGGTCATCTATTTAATCTTCGATTTCTTTACAGCTGAAATTGAGTGATAAGGAAGTCGCCACTGGCGTCTTGGCCACCAAATTGAATGCCTATAGTGCCGGTTATCAAGATTTCTCTGAATTACACGAACTCCAAAAAGAATACAATCTTTCGGATGAGTTGGTTCAGAAAATCACCGACTTGGCTAAGAGAGGAGGAGACCCCCGAGCTTGCCATTGATTGAAACCTGTAAATGTTGTGCCAAATGTATAAATAAAGTTTTATTTCTCTTTGAGAAGGATATGTTTCTTTCTGTAAAAATATAAATTTTGTGGAATATGAGATACAAATTTGAAAAACTATGGCCGAAATGAAGTTATTAAGTGAAGCTCCCAACATGATGTCTGGGAAAGGAGGAGGAATAAGATTTGAAATAGGAACGATCACATCGAATTTTCATATTTTGTTAGGAAACTTCCTGATTATACTTTTCTCAAACGGCACTTTCAATGCGATATTTGCCTTCGAGCTTATTTCTAATGCTCGTACAAATCATGTTCAGTGGGTTTGCTGTAGAGCTTTCCATTTCTAGCACATGACACAAGATGGCATAACCTAGATACAAAATAAATTTTCGTTATGGTTCATATAATTTGTACCTTGATGGTTATACAAAGCCTTCAATCCAATCCCCGTCGCGGCCAATGTGCCGATACACACAGCTGCCTTCAACAATTTCAATTATTGCGTCTTATCTTTTTAACTGACTTTGTATCGTATGCGACGACAATAATCTGTGTGAGTCTTGTCCGTTACTGTCAGCATTTCCAGGAGAACTGGTATCGCTCCCTGAGCAATCAAAGCTTCCTCATATCTCCTAGCAGCTAGCCGGGAGAAAGTTGTGACAAGCTGAGTATAATATATATTAAGAATGAGATTATCTATACACACTTGTTCCTGAACGAAGATTGTCGAGCAGTATTGTCTATTGTATCCCTGAATCAATCTGCTGATAGCGTTTAGTCTGGAAATTAGAATACGTCATGTTCACGTGACATGATTCATATCATTTAAACGGAGAAAGACACAGAGAACGGTCTGTCATGAAAAATTTTCTCGAGAAGAAAATGTTTCAAACAATAACATGATGACATGGTAATAACAACTAACCGATAAAGCATATCGACTGCTCCTTGATCTTGCAATGTAACATTAGCCAATGCAGCTGACACCAACAACAAAGATTCTCCATTTGAGCAGATATCGACCAAGTCTAAAGCATTAGTGAGTACTACCATGTTAAGAATAACTGACCTAATAGTCTTGCTAGTATATTTTCCACATTGTGTAAGTGAATGAATGAGTGTTGAGGATTAGTTAGTTGGGTTAGAACTCCTGATGCTTCGATAGCACATGAGGAAGAAGTAGATCCAAGATGGTGCAAAACAATGTCTAATCCTCCAAACTTGAAAAATATATTAATCAAGCATAAAACTGAGCAATTAAAAACCGATAATAACGACAGGCATCCTTTTGATACTCCACACAGAACAGCCATTGCCCTTAGTAAAAGACGACATGTATCACTAGGGGTTCCAGGAGTCCGGATCAGTTTCAAAAGACTTGTTAATCCGCCAACCTGTAATTTAGGGATAATACAGAGAATCTAAAGCTAATCATACTTGAATGGTCTCTAAGCATAACTCATCTCCGAAAAGAATTATATGAATGAGATGCTCAAGAGCAATGACTAGTAAACGATCCTTATTACCACACTCGTTGATGTGCTTGCTAATGATCTGAATGAATATCATGTTCATGTCGATTCTACTGCAATATCAACCTTCGCAAAAAGTTGGAGAACCTGCTCAACCATTTTCCTGACAATGATTACAAAATAATTGGATTGGCCAAGAGATGAGCTCATTTCGTCAATCGGCGATCTTTGGAGTTCAGAAATTTGGGATTTGACAGCGGAGATATCCTATGAATAGAAGGTAATGATTGAACATAACTGATGATTTACCGATTTGGGTAAGTAATACACACAAGGAGATGATTCCAATATTTGTATGAACATAGTAGATTTAGTGGATAGATCCTTGAGCACGCTGTGATCGCATGTTTGAGAGAACAATGTGTAAATCGACGATGCCGTACGAAGTACATGATCCATCGTACCTTCAGCAGATTTATGTTACTAGAAGAACGAAGTTTACTTACTAGCCATTCTAGGATAGCTGGGTAAACAGCGCTGCTGGTAACTTTGGTAAGTAGATATCTGACATGGATCTACAACATCCTTTTCTTCTCTTGATGAAGAGAATGAGTTTAATGCTAAATCACCTGAAACAGTACGGTAACAGGTTGAATACACTAATGTGAACTACCAGAACATTGTCCAGAATCAACACTTAAGGTGCTGTCTGAGTTCATACTCTTGGGAGAAGCAGGTGGTATCATACAATTATTTCTGTTATGTGAATCTGCGGAAACTGCTTCGTTGCTGAAATACCGAACTCATATTTATCGCTTTCCCTGTAATATGTACCAAAGCCTACGTGCTTTTTCAACGTCTTCAGAGCTAACGGCAACAGTTTGTCGATTGATCACAATTGGTTTCCGCCCAACAACTTTAGAGTTACCAGTTTTCTCGACTCGAATACTCAACTGCAATAAGAAACTAAGTATCAAAGCATTCTATCAAGTAAGTACAAGAGAAACGTGTAAATACTTCCACGTAAAACTCACGTGAATTTTTCACGTAATCGTATTCACGTAACAGTGTCAAGGTGAAATTCACGTAAACATTTTCACGTAACGACTTTCACGTATGACTCACGTGGTATTCCCGTGACTGATGTGACGTGAGTTTTACGTGGAAATATTCATTCATTTATTAGAGCTCTCGCGCAGAACGGTTGATGTGGACCAAAAAAAAAATTACCTGCTCATATGTAGGTGGTTGTGGTCGTCGATTAATTGTGGACGTTGATGATGTAATTGAACAGTTCAATTGCGGTAAACTTGAATCGTCTCGTCGGAATCGTAATCCCGGTGGTGTCCAAGGAGCAGTATTCTAATAAATAATTGAAAATGAGAATGAAATAAGTCTGAGACTAAAGTAAATGTGTGTTTGGAGCAACATGTGGGACAGATTGGAGCAATATTGTTGTTTATACATCAATAAATTTTGTTGTTCAGACAACTACAAGCCTGATATTACAATGATGAAATTATAACAGATAATATCAGCAATCGGTGATTGAGTAAAAGCATGTAATGATGATGAGATTGAGCGGAAAGTTTTTTAGAACATTTTAAAATGAAAAGGAAACTCACATTTGTTGTTCGATCGGAAGAGTTTAAAGCCAACGTCGATTGAGTTTGATTGCCTAAAAAGAGTGAATGAGAAATGAGAAAAGAAAAATATATACTGATACTTCTTCTTTCATATACAACATTAGGTTAGAGCTGAGTTAATGTAGAAGGCGTATTGATTGAAACAGAATATTTAAAAGTCAACTAGGATAGTTTTTTAATGGGATAAGTTCTCAGATTCTCCTGGGGAATATCTCTTATGCAATTTTCACACAACATTCAGTTGGTCACAAGGAAAAGTCAGTTAGGCAATGATGTTCAATTTTCGTTCAAATAAATATACCCTATGGACATTTAAATTGGACACAAATGTGTTTCATTGCAAAAAGAAAAATATTTCAACGATAATGGCCACTCTTTTTTCTTCGGAGGAAGAGATCATAATCTAACCTTGTCTCCATCCATCTATGGAAGCATAATGTGATTCAGTGAATTTACAGGATTCAATCAAGTCCAATGTGGAATATGTGGCTGCCCATTTATCATTTTCTGAACGAATGCGAAAATGTTTTGAAGGAAGAGAGTGGAACGCTTACTTGAAACTTCAACTTTGTCGTTCTTCTTCCGAGCAATACGTCGCTGAGGCTTCGGTGGAGGGATAGATGGGACAGACGTCGATTCAGACTGACTTCTATAATTGGAAAAACATGAGAAAACAAAGAATACTCCCAAGAGTTCGCATAGCTGGGAACCACATCACAAGTCTTTACTCTCTTAAACTCATAATTCGTAATGTCTTTACCTCTTCATCCAGAAACGTTCTTTCAATTTAAGGAGAGGCACAACTACAGTTGTAACTTTTAGATTGTTAGCAATTTAAGGCGTTTGTAAGAAAGAAGAGAGGACAAATGTGTGATGAGATGGCCTTCTGAAGTACCAATCAGCCCTTTCTCTAAGAGTATATAGTATTACCTTATATGTTGACAATACACAATATATAGTAGGAAGAGCCAATGTTACAGCGACAAAACAAAACAATGATCTCAAACGACTTGCAAAAGACACTATCTCAATGTTCAGAACAATTCCCAAAATGGTCATTTTCCAGTGAAATTGTCAATCTTCTTGATATTTACTCAAAAGCGCAAGAAGTGACGAATGAGCCAATTGAGGTCACAAATACACACACGAAAATGACTGTTGAAAGATCAAAACAAAGACTTTCAGAAGGCAAGATTATTCGAGACAGAGCTCGATTTTCAAGGATATGGAAGAAGCGTCGGTGATTTCCAAAGAAAATTGAAAAGACTGAAGCTGATAGTTGATTAATGTATTTGTTCATTAGCTGTTCCAATCTATTACAACCAATTTTCAGTTAAGCTATTCGCTCTTCGATCAATGGTAAAAACAAAAAAAAATTTTTTTACCCTGATTCAACCTGATATTGGATTGATTGGCTATCAAAAGACCGATTGTACTTTTGAGAAAAGTCGAACGATGTTTTTGAGTTAAAAATTATAAAACTTTATGGTTGAAGGAGAAAAACAGGGCTGAAGATCACTAAAGAAGTTTCAACTGCGAGGATAATTAAGGTTCGCAAACTAGGAAGCTGGATCTTTTAAGTGACTTCTACAATAGATGTCGCAACATGGGACAGACTAGATTGTGAAAAAACCTTATATGGAAAATGATTTTCCCGTAAATATGGAATGACTTTGAGAACAGTTAGATGCATAGAAACTTTCAAAGAATCTCGTCGAACACACTGAACTCCGTCAGCTGTACCAAGTAGGAAGAAATTTGTGAAGTTGCCACTTCTAACTTTGGGACGATATCTATTCCTACAAGTGTCCTTGTAAACTTTAATGAAATTCAGAAGCTGTTCGTTCGAAATCTCAGAAAACTTGGAGATCAACTTATTTCGTTGAAGATAGTAGAAACCTTATACGTCTAGACGTAATTCTTCTCAAACATAGGACTTACTTTCACATAAGCAGCTTGTGTCACTCTCACTCAGATTTGCGAAACATGTTACAAAAGGAAACAAACGGATGTTCTCTAATCATTCTGTCTCTCTCCATTCCTCCTCAAGTGGAAAAGACACTCGCGGATTCAATGGCATTCAAATAGATAACTCGAACAAACAATTTTGTTGGAAAAAAAATGTTGCCGTCATACATCAAGACGTTGCTAATTTCCCTTATAAAAACTTGTGCATATCTCCAAAACACTCTCTACATATTCTGTGATTGAAAACAAAAAAAAACAAACCGACCTCGAGCGTATAGAAGAATTGGAAGATTTCCGAGGTGGTGGGGAGTTCTTTAAATCCTTTTGTTCCTTGTGTTGAGTATTAACTGTTGCAGCCTTATCCGTTTTATGATCACAATCATAAGACGCATTTAGAGTTGCATCCCCTAATAGGGATTTGGCATAAAGGATGGAATGGCATTCGTGCTCTGTTGCTAATGAAAGCTCAGACAACCATTGTTGATGACAAATGTCAACATTTTCTTTCTGTAAGATTTCCAAACTTGGCTAAAAGATGAAAATGGCCTCTTTATTTAATTTCATGAAATTACCTCGTCAATCTCGTTTATTTCTGTTGGAATCTTCTCATCCAGATAGTCGGCACTTTCCAGCGAGTCCCAATAGCGTGCGAGTGCGAAAGGCATTTTTTTGTATTTCAAAGCATAGTGCGAATATCTGCAACATCAAACAGAAATTAGTGTGAAGAGATATGTTGAGCACAACCGCACGTGACGATATTGCAAAATAAAATGAGATTTGGTCGTATAGCACGTGAGACACGTGAAAACAAAGTCCAGAAATATGCTAATGAAGCGATAACGTGGATATTCACCAAATGGACGGAAAAGAACGAAGTTCAAAAAAAGAAGAAGAAGAAGAAATCAAACGCATGGACAAACAATAGATTTGTTTGGAAAGGTAAAAGAGGGAACTGGGAATGAAAACAAACGGAACGTAGTAACTACGGATGCGGAGGATGAAAACATTTAAGAAGTTGAGAAAACGATTAAATGGTCAAGAAGAATTGAATGACAGGATTCATTCATGAAATTGTTCTATCTATTTGTCAGCAGAAGCAGTTGACGGATTGCGAGCCGAGTTTAGAGATTAAAATAACGTTTGAAGACAAATATGTTCCTTTAATAGCCAAATGGGATAAAACTTTTCGTATTTGCTGTCAATTAGGAGAAGATGAGAGAAGAGGGAAAAAGAATAGATTAAAAGGAAAAGTATTAAAAATGGCAAAAAATAATTGAATTAACTGGAGCAGCTTCGGAGCGCTATCTCAAGCGTGTAAGTGCAGTGAGGTTAGTGAGGATGAGAGGGGGGGAGAGGAAGAGATCAAAAAAACATTTTGTGAGGGTAAGACTGATTAGCCAAGTAACTAATATGGTTTTATAAATTGAAAAGGAGGACGGTTGGAAGAATCTTAAGTCAACATTCGAAGGCTATTTCTCAGCAGTCGCTTTGATAAAAGATGACAAATTGAAGAAAATTAAATTGATCAATTTCAGACGAAAAAGCAAGTAAATGAACAAGTGATAGATAACAGCTGATTATTGTTTGATACAACTACTCAATTAAAGTTTTGCAAAAAGAAAAATAGTAGAGGAATGAAGAAAGTGCGTCATGAAGAGTGAGGAGAATCAAGGAATAATTGATGAGGAAAAGAAGGCGAGAATGTGCTCTTCATTTTCTGGCTTAATGTCAAAGTATGGCTTAAACTTTGGAGCTTAAAACTCAAAACTCAATAACTGCTAGGATAACGATGGTGATGCGAGTAATGGCAAGAGGTGAGAAGAGTGATAGAACGCCAGCCAAGCAGGGGATTTGAGACATTTCAACAAAAAAAGAAAAATATAGACAGAACAACAGAAATATACAAAGAGAGAGAGATAGTGAAGTTAGAGCAAAATCAGTGTTTGAAGAGCTTATGTAAGAGAAGAAGAGATTCTAATTAATGAACAACCTCGTGTGGGTCTCAGGAATCACATCTTTCCCTCCATCCATCATTTAGAACCTCGATCGACAAAACACCTCCACACGCTCTTCAAAAAAAAAGAAGAAAAAGAGGAAGAAGAAAATTGCTCACAAAATTTCTCAAGAGGAAGCAACCATGTGCCATTATAGCTTTTGAGAAGAAGATGAAAAATTTGAAACCTCATAATTCAATTGGATGGCAGCATTAACTATCCCAAGCAAATGCCTGAGAAATGCTTCCGTGTCGTAAGGATCTCAGCTTTTGACAGAAATTAAATCGAATGACACAATTGTGTGAAATTGAGAGAAGCTGTAGGCGAAATGGATTGCAAGATTTAACGTTTAAGACAAAAATCTATTAATCAGATAAATGTTGGCCATTCTGTGGTTTAACTTGTAAGACGACCAGCCAACTGACCTTACTGACCTGTTGTTAACTGAGCTGTAAAGTCATCAAAAGACAATTATTATTACACTTAATATCCAAAATATCGAAAAACAGAGAAGCATAGAACAATACGAAACGGATATGTGATGAGACAATCCGGAAAGGTAGTGAGGACAGATGAATGACTCTTTCGAGATAACGAGGGAGAGAGAGACAGAGATAAAGGATGTGCAGATGGAGAATGAAAGTGTAGAAGGAGGAGAAGAAGGAGGATGAAAAAAGGAATGCAACAGCTCTGAGCTCAATTTGAATAAAAAGTGATCCACGTGTGTTGCAATTGAAGCACATAGAATGCTCTTTGGCGCGCAATCTTTTCGTGCTGAAACACTTTTATGAGCATAGTAACTTGAAGTATAAAAAAAAAGAGAAAAAGAAAGCTTGAAAGTAAAACTTAGTAAAGAAGATTTGTGGCTCAGAAAACAAAAAAAAATTTTTCTCTCACAAAATAATAAATGATATTATTTAGTTTTAAGAAATATTTGTAAACATAAGGTTAAGCACTACTACTGATAGTTAGCTACTCGAGTGTTTCCATCACATCGCCCACATTCAATATCATTTCTAATTAATATGTTGCAATTGCATGGAACTTACTATACTGCGGACAGTTTGTTTGTGAGTTGTCAACTGAAGCATACGAACGTTACATGACATTCGTTTCACTCACATGAAAATAGAAGAAGCTCTACGGATTTTTCTTTTCAAACAAAAAAATTATGTTTTCATCAGCATTTTCGTTTTTGTGTCGTAATTTCGTTGTCAAGGAACATCCAGATATATCCCTATCACCTTCAGAATAGGAAACACATACATGAACGATACCATGAAGAGAGGGTGAGATGAAGAACGCGTTTTCATATTTCGTTTATTTCCAGGAGCATTTTACATGATAATGAACAGATAGTCAACAGAACAGTTGAATTTTGAGACTTTTCTTTTGTTATTATTCTAGTGTTTAATGGGAGATGATACAGGCGATGATGTTTTACGGAATAAGACCTTCTGAGCATCAGAAGTTGATGAAATTGATTTGTGCTTATGTACAGTTGCCTTCTGATGACTACGACTGAATGACTTGCCAAATTGACTATGTTGAGATAATGAAACAGGCGATCTTCCGAATCCTTCAGAACGCGATTTTGCTACAAATGTGCTGGAGAGACGACCAGTAGATGATCCAGATGTAGTTGGTGATGAGTTGTTTGTCTTTCTTGTCAAATCGTAGACAATCGTGAGCATCTTGGATTCCTTCTTCTCCAATTCAGAAATACGTCTCTATAATCGATATGACAGTTACTCATCTGTATAACTCATGAGGACAGACCTGTAATTCCTTGACATCTTCGGGGCTGAGATATTTGGAAGCTTCCTTGATCATAGTCTCCTTGAGATTCTCAGTAATCTTCTCATAGTCACCATCATACACCCGAACACTACGATAGTAAGAGCCACGCTTGAATAACACATTTCAATTCTTCAGAAGTAGAAACGATACAGACCACTTTGTAATACAGATTGCTCAATGCAGTGAATGGCAAATGGAAATTATCAATTGCTGTCGCCAAATTTTTCTTTATAGCAGAGAAAAATTATTAAATTGGAAATTTTGAGTTTATATGAGTTTACCTGGAAAACACCTATCCAGCGGACAACTTGATTGATGATTGTCAGCACCTGCCTAACATTATCCCATCCTCCACGACTTTGAACGCGAATATCATTGAAAACCTGTTGAACTGTATATTTCGAATGGTGTAAAGATGTAACGATACTTCATTCTCAGCTTCTTTCAACTCTTTGTTGTCGCGAGCTCTGTCGACAGATTCAGCAAGCTGAATGTATGGAAGGTTGCTAATGATGAGAATGAAAAATGAAACAAACTCGTCGAAGAACAGAATCAGGAACGGCTTTACGAAGACCTTCTCGTTCCAAAATTCTATGATATACACCTATAGGAACATAACAGGTGACTATATTGGCTAAGAAGAATAAGCCGATGCTCCTGAGAAGAAACTGATTCATTCAGATGTTTCTAAAGCAGTATGATCTAAGCAGTAAATGGAATGGGTTTAAACAAAAATAAAGAGAACGAGATCATTCATGCTTCTACTGAATGAAATAAAATTTATGAGATAAGGGGAAGACTAGACGGGGGGATGATAAAGCTGAAGTTCCTGAATACAAAGCAAAACTGGTAAGTAAGAAGATCTATGAAGCTGTTCGTTCAATTGGATGGGTCAGGGTCAGGAAGTTTGTTGTCCACGCTTTAGGATGATCGACAAGCTTACAGATAATCATGTAATTAGTAGATGTTAATTATAATCATGTTAATAACGAAAAATGATTTCGGAAATGAAGCTCAACAGTTCCATCTGCCGTATATGGTTTGTAAATGAACGGCAGAAGATGAAGCTTCACCTGAACCTTCATCTTGATTTGGGCGGAGATGAATGAGGGTTCCAGCTGTGGTCGGAAGACATAACTCACAGTCGATAGATTGCCATCAGCAATTTAAAACTTCTTTCCTTATTTTCAATCCTGGACCACCCATTCATGAAGTTTTTGTTCCCAAATAGCAAATTTGGCATTAACGCTTTCACTCTCAGCGGCACACAACAGTCTCCGATTACACAGCAGCAAAGGAATCCTGATCAGCATTTGTTACTGAAGAAGAGTTGAAGATGTAGTTAGCTACATGTTAATAACCTAGAAACTAAGCCTGTTCATGATTAGTTTAATCTGAGCTTCATCCCGAATCATCAGTTGATTAGATAACATCTAATGACAGCATTTGAATAGGTTTATACACAAAATAACAATATGTACTACAGAAGAGTCTTCTTCTCATCGTTATACGTCTTAGAAGGAGAAGAAGCTGATGAAGAGGAAACACACAAACGGAGAATTGAGTTCAAAAATTGAAATTCAAATAAAACTGTGAAGAAAGCAAGAATAACTGCTGGCAATTACATGTAAAGAAATTATTTGTTGTAATTATTAGTTCATTCCTTATTTGGCCATCGCATACGCATTCACTCATTCTCGATTCTGGCTTAGAGCACCAGTCATTTGAGCAAATCCTTCAGGTAGCGATGCCGATCCACCAAATGGAAAACCTGTCATGGGCACTGAAAGCATTTTCATTTCATAATTTTATTTCTTTTCTGATGGTTAGTTTAATTAGTTAAATTAGATTTTAATAATAGATAAGGTGTTATTGGAATGGAAATCGGCTGAAGTACGATGAGCTGAAGGGAAAACTTGAGAGATATCGGTAACTACGGGCTTCTGCCTTTTCCTCAAGATGAAGATCTTAAGAGTGAAATCGACAAGAGGTTTTTACGAGTTTTTTTTATAAATAAAAGATTTTTTGTTAGAAAAATCGGAAAAACTTACATGGAAAACGCATGAACTGACGTCCATACAGCAATGGGTTGAAGAATGTCGGAGGAAAAGCTGTAGAGAACTGAGGAGCTGAACTGTAGATGGGAGACGAGGACGACGAAGATGAGTTTGCTGATGAAGAAGCTGCAAACGTTGTTGGAATTGGAGTAGTTGGCCCCGTAGTCAGCAGTTGATTACACTGTGGAGATGAGGAAGATGACGTCTGAAGATTAGAAGATGTTTAACCTTTATTGTTTCATGACACATCTTGGTGGCATGAAAGAGGGGGATGTACCTGCTCTGTGTTTGTTGGACTGTTGGGTGAACTTTCAACGATCTCCAGATCTTTCTTAGTCGAGATCTCAAGCTGACAGGTGGGCGAAGCTGGCTCATCAATCGTCTGATCTGAAAATATGAAGCATTCAATGTTTTTTTTTCGATTTCGAGCTCGTATGTAGTCAATTATGATGCCGATCAGGGTCAATCACAGCAGGCTGCTGAATCAAATAGAGAGCATATCAATATCCTGCTACCCTCACACACACACACACACAAGTACCACGTGTTCCAACTTACACTATCATAACTTGTCTTATTTGAACTTTCTCTAGTTGCTCCCCTCTTTCTATGAGACCGTCAGCCTATTGTCCTCTCTTGGTCTTCACACTCAATGACGCAACCTTATTAAACAGACAGGTGGCTCAGCTGCTCACAACGCTTATCCATTAGCATATTATCTTCTATAGCCCCATATTTAGCAACAATTGGGCCATAAGTGTTTCAATGAGACTTTCATATCTCCAAATGCCTTCTATCTTTGCTCCAATGAAAGTTCACTAGAAGTTTGAGTCTTTCACACTCTCACACAAATATCAAATTATCCTTGACTTTCGAATAACATATGATGAGATCTATTGGAAAAGGCACTGAAGCTTCTTTAGGACGATCAAGTATTCAATTTTCAATTTATAATACTTCGACTCTTTACTTGAACAACCCACTTATCTATTATTATAATAATATTTTCACTTCTCTCATCTTTTGCATTCAAAAACTGTAAACATAAAGAAAGCTCAACATAATAGCTTGAAAACCTTCTATCATGAATTTTATACGCATCAGCTCCTAACACTATCTTATCATTGAACAATTTGATGTTCGCGTTAAAAACAAAAGATTTAGCACGAGTGGGGTTCGAACCCACGCGGACATACGCCCATTGGAACTTAAGTCCAACGCCTTAACCACTCGGCCATCGTGCTACGTGAAGTTACCACTTCTTTTGCTAGGAATGCATGAGCTCACCAACTGTTATCATAACTATGATACTGTGAGCATGCAGTATATCATTGGTTACAAATTTTGTTTTATAAGATAAGCTATGAAGATTTCAACAAACCTGAAGATTCTGAAGCCTGCTTTGATTCTGTTTGATTTGAATTTTTGCGAATAATATCAAGCAACTCGGTGGCTGGAAATATAAAATTGAGATTTGTGAGCAATGTCAAGTTATAATACTAAAATAATTATTTAAAATAATTATTATTGGATAATCTTCAAGTATGACGTAATGTCTTAAGTGTTTATTAATCTTTCAAAAAGCATTTAATCCGACCACTCAGTAATCTCTGATTCTCTCACTTGTCTGTACTTTCTCAGATCACAATATGGAGATTCACCGATATTTCGAATCATAATAAGGACCTTGGCTGTAATTGCTTTTTCAACTCATCCAGCTTGCTTCTTAAACTATAAGGGAAGGGCTTAATGAGTTCTTGCAACTGAATGACGCCTACAATCTGATTTCAACTCATCGTGTTATTAGATTGAAAACAAACTCTTCTAACCAATACAAGAATGAACATGACGCCATTGTTATGCTAATTCGCATGATGAACAGCAAAGAGTTGTTTTCTAATTTGCATAATCCACGTACTCACGTCAAAGTGCTTGCGAGAAGGCGCGTGAAAGTTATTTTAACTTTAAAGCAGAAAGAGATCGGTTGCTACATTTCCGCAAAGGTGGGAACGTTCGCATAGGTTAAAACTAATTGAAGGTGACATAAACTGCCAATAGGTGTGAAGAGGAGATATACGATAGGCACAATGCTAACCAAACAAGGAAAAAGCGGTTTTTTTTCATTTTTTCAATGTCTTCAGTTTCATTAAGATTGAAATGCTTAAGAGGTTCTACATGAAACGATCTGTTCGGAGGGAATGTTGGATAAGCTTATTGTCTGAATGAAACTTCTGAGAATAAGGATGGAAAGAATTATTTCTACTATGGATGATGATGGGTCATGTTGACAGTCTCCTACTGTATTTGGATAAGAAATGCTCACGCTATGGAGCTCTCTACAAGACCTCATATAATAATTTCTTTTTTTGGTCATTATGAGCACAGAAGTTGTCAGAATACACAAAACAAACTAATTTGAAGAAGCACTTGGTCAGATGCTAGATGAAGGTGAGAATCACAGCTGACTTATGTTACATCCTTATTAGTACATATGAGGTTAATTAATACACTTAACACATTCATCATTATTTGATTTGAAACAAAAGTTTTTTGACCATAAATGGCCAATGAAGCTTCTTTAAACGATGAGCACACTAACAGTTTGCTTAAGGTTAACCTCCACTTAGCTTCACACACACTGTCAACTTCTCTTTTTTGAAAAACTTCTGAGAATAACTAACCATTTCCGACTCCAAAAAGCATTTCCAAATCCTTGGCTTCCTTTTCCTCTTGGCTTTGTTGACGACGCAATGCAACCTGAACATCGTTCCATTGTCTTAACTTAAACTTCTGTCTCGAAGAATCTCACCTGTGCCGCCATGACACGTTGTCGTTCCGCAATGAGAGTGCATTTGGCGCACATGCAATCCTTCCATCGACAGTAGCGCTTGTGTCCTAAATAAAGATTAGAAGTGATTGAGGCTAACTCTCAACTAAACCTTTTAATGCAGAAACAGTTCCGTGATTTCTACAACGAGCACATTTAGGAGTTCGTTGATTGCGTTCTTGACGCAAGCGAATGAGATGCTCCAGACTTGAAGCTGGTAGATTGATTCCGGTTAAAGGTGGAGATTGGGTAGAAGACATGTTACTATAAGGAAGAGTATAAGTTAATGAAAAGGAAAGTATGACGAGAAGAAAAAAGAAGAGAGTAACTCTTTACTGTTTTCAGTTAACTATTTGACTAAGCACATTATTCTATCTGGGCTTCTTCAAGCATTGGCTCCGCCCCTACCTCTTGAGCTCATCCAATAATGGCTCAAGTCCCGCCCATATACTTTAGAAGAAATGAAAATAGTGAATAAAGAAACATATGATAATTGTAAAGATAATAATTGTATAACTTTTTCCAAATATGGAGTTGGATCGGACGAGTTAGAGGTTGATGAGCATGCGGAAGGGAGAAGACATGAGAGACTTACTGATCTGATCTGACTACTGCTTCAGATGCAGGTCGAACCTACAATAATCTACTTCGAACAAAAGAAGCTTGTTTATACAAAGTTTCTCTTCGTTAATATAAAAGATGAATTTTTCAAAAGTTGCGTGTGAATACAGTTGACCTCCGGTAATTCTTGAAAGATGTTTGTTGTCTTTAGAAAGCTACTATTAGCTCAAGATAGTCAAATTGAATGAAAGAATGGAAATGTGCTATGTGATATGTTATTTATGAGCTTTCACAATAAACTTTATATAGTTAATCAAATATAAATAGTATAATTTACATACTAAATATGGTAAGAGATTTCGCGCACTGTGTTTAACTGTAAGCAGCAGGAGTCAGCTCATAACAGTCATGTTGTTGAGCATTGGGAGAATGAATAATAACAAAGTGATTGCAATATGGATAGAGCTTAAGAGTTTGTTGGGCTTCTTGTGATTTGCAAAATGTTTGAATACCCTTACGGTAGGAGATAAGTCAAAGCTCAATTCTTGAGAAACAAAATGTTGAGAAAGAGGGAAGAAGGCAGTGCACAAACGTTATTTATCGTTTTCCAACTTGTTGGAAATAGTAGGTTTTATAAAATCTTTTTTAAATTTCATAATATTTCTTAGTATTTATCCTCTTACAATTGAACGTCAAGTAGCGAAAGCTATATAAACTTGACAATCTTGAAGAGCATCTTTTACAAATTCTAAAGTTTATTGAAAAATAAAGTTATAAGTTTTAATTGTTTTCCAGAAAAAAGGAGGGGGGGGGGAGATCTACACAGAGAGAGGGAGAGAGAGAGAGATAGAGAGTTGAAGCTTGATCAATTCTACTTGTTGATGTCCATACTATATCATATTACGTGATCTGATATACTTTCTATTGTGTAGTAGCGGCTCTTGACCAATTGCAAATCCATCTAACTTTCTCATGTCCTTCAACATGTATCCGGTGTTAAGAAGGTGTCAACATCATCTTTTGAACTGGCGACAGAAAAATAAACAAAAAAAATGTTTGCTTGTTCATACAAATCATCATCTAGATTACTACTTGACAACTTTACTTTTTCAACTTTATTATGCCGGAAATTGTAATAGGTCATCAAAATCCGTTCGAAAGCCTATTTGCCACAGGATTACGGTAGGTTCACATCTTACACAAGCTTCAATATTTCAAAAATATGAAAAATGCATATTTATTTCAAATATTTCTGTTTTCTTTATTTATGCTTTCAATTAAACATTTTTTTCATGCAAAATTTGTTATTGTTCGACTGTTTGGTTCTTTTTTTTAATTGGCCATGAAAACTGCTTTCACTAATTAGCATAATCAATGGAATTTTTGCGTGAAAACGCGCGCTAGCGTCAAACTCTTCATTTGAATGTGCTATCACGTGCAGACCGGTTGTATGGTTCGTTTTTCTTTTTTTGTTTTTTTTTTTTCGTATTTTTTCTTATACCTTCGCGCTACTCATTGATTAACATTCCTTCCTAGTTTTGACATACTTCGGCGTTTCTGTTTTACCGCTAGCTAAATGAGGAGAAGTCTCTATCTCAAACATATTGTGTTTTGTGTTGTTCATTAATTTCATAAGCTGTCTCGCGTTTTCTGGTTGACCATCTTTCCTTCCTGCAATTTTACAACTGACCTCCTTTTCTGTCTGGAATCTGAAAACCGTGACGATATCTATTTGAATGGTGTTTGAAACCTTTACAACCGTCATCAACTTTGTTTTTCTTGTATTTTGCCTCAAACGCTGCCGTAATTAGGGTTTGATGGATGCTTGGCAGGTGTTGAGTATCTCTGGGGGGTTTGTCTCGTCTAATTTAGAATTCATATCGAAACTAAACGACAGACTATTTTTTTTGCAATCTAGAGCAGAGCAGTTTCTAATTTTGAGCCTTTTTTAAGAATCGGAGCACAATCTATATAACCATGAAGTGTATGAAAGTGTCCCGCACATGGTTATTCCCTTTGCGAGCTTTTTTCTTCAGTGGCTACCAGCAATTGAGTTTTACTTCCGAGATTCTTTGACCTTATTATCCCGTTCTACCTCTACTTATCTCTTTATATCGTCCAATATCTTTTCGTTTTTATTTAAAAAAAACCTTAACTTTGGATAACCATAATGAACCTGACAAGAATGGACTGAGATCTAGTAGAATCCGTTTCTTTCTTCTGTCATTTCTCTTCTCACAGATCGTTTCCTGAATCTTTTTACTTGATAGCTGCTGCTGCTGCTGCTGCTTCTACTATAAACGCTTATAATCATTCCTTTGTCAGCATACACTTCTCTTCTTGACTGATTTGCCCACATTCATCCAGAAAACCAGATAACCGTGTAATCTCTTTTACTTTGATATAAACCATCTTTGTTTGTTTTTCGTTAGCTTCTTCTTCCTAATTTAGCTATTGCGTCACTATTCAGCTAAACTTGAACGTTTTTTGCATCCATTCGTTGACGCATTAGATTATTGATGGTTTTTATGCTAATGACTGTCTGTGACGAATTTCCACGTGAGTTCTACGTGGACACACTAAATCATTTAATTCCGTTGTGCTCCGCGGAAACGGTTGTTTTTCTCAAAATCATTGTGCAGTTTCGCTCATATTAATTGGACCCAGCAAGGTATTCAGCTTTGATTCTGTTGTATGGAGCATTTAAGTTTCTGTATGGACTTCTATTCAGCAGTGAAACTTGACTGTGTATACTACTAAACGTTTCTTAGAAAACCGGCAAGGCATCGTATATAGGCATGTGAACGAATCAACGGCTTTTGTACCGTAACGTGTTTTCCTGTCTGGTCTGTTAAGAGGTGTGGAAGAGATGAATAGATGAATACATCTAGCTTTTCCTGTACTTCCTTCTCTTCCACTTTTACCCCCCCCCATTTCCTTATCTTCTACAGCTTTTTCATTCTGTGGCCGTTTTCGGATTGAAGTAGCTGTTGATTGTTTGTCATTGGTAAATGAAAACAGACATAAATGTGTGAGACTCCACCATAGAAATACATCGCTAGGATTTCTGTGTCTGATCTGAACGACGAAAATGGAGAAAATGACTACGTTCACGTCTACATTTGTTGTCGTTCATCTCATCCTTTATCGTCAATCGTTTCCTTCATCTGTTCTTTTTCACTTGTTCCTTCAGTTAGATCCGTGCGACTCCTTTCTTTCTTTATCTTCATTGAAAACACGGTTAGTGGCTACGCTTACATGTACGCAAACGTGCGAACCCAATCACATCGACGACCGGTCCCGAAACCGCCATCAGTAGCTTGCCCATATTGGGGTGTTAGGCCGGGTTAGGCTAGTGGGAAAACTACAGTTCTTTTTCTCTCAGAAGCAACTACCCACCACCACTTTCATATACAGCCAGTCGTCATCAGCCGTTGGACTACTCTCTCTATCTTTTTCTCTCTATGTGTCTCCGTTCCTTTTCCTCTGTCCAATCTCCTTTTTCTCTTCCTGGGTCCACGAAACGAACCAGAACGCTTCACCAGAAGCAGTAGTTTTCTCGGACGGGAAAACCATTGTGCTTTTCTCCTGTTGTCATCAGTGGACGCTGTTTCGTTTCTCACTTCACTTTTTGTTGGAAGCAACAGCTCAACTTCCGTAACGTTCTCTAACTGCGGCGGAACATTACGATTATTTCCGTGGATTCAGAGTTTTTTTTTTTGAAAAAGCGTATTAAGAGCGTTCGAGTGCTGATAAACGTCATTTCCATACAATGTAATGTGAAGCCAAAGCCTGAACATGGAAAGTTGTCTTTCGCCATTCGAACTTAAAAGTTGTTATTTACAATAATACTTCGTTTAACTAGTTTACTTTATTTCTATTAATATAATTGACTAACTGAAGTGCTTCTTCTTCGTCTTCGTTGTCAACGTCGCCTTCTCCGTCTCCTTTTCTCGTCAACACGTCGATTTTCGTAATCAGGATTTCATACCGGTTCAGTATCTTCAAGATTCTGCTACCTTACGTCATCAGCATCAAGTAGGAGAAGCTACTACTTCCCTTTCTATCCATTCTACTTTTCACTCACACCTTTCATGTTTTCAATGGCGTATATATGATATTTGAAATGGCGTCTAATGCTAGTGCCCTTATTCGGATTCTCCCTTTCACGCCATCGTCCTAAATCTCTCTCAATTTGATCCCACATTTTGTATTGAAAACATCCTGAGTTTTTGGAACTCTTTGAAGACAACCTAAGTGTTTTCGTGTTTTCGTCTCTCCTCTTCTGTTGCTCAACATATCTGATCATTCGCTGCCTATTTTCCGGACAATTATCCGGTGCTGATTTGCTCCATAATTTTCAATGCCAGAATTCAATGAGAGAAAACGTGAGAAATCTCAGAAAAATCAGTTTCGGCTTCTCATTGGCAGTCATTCTATTCTATATCTCTGACGTTATTCTATGTTTATACATAGACAGAAGTTTGATGAAGCCGATGGCAAGCTTATCCGGTTGGAGGGCAGTGGAGCCGAGCGGACATCCGGCCCAAACGGCCAGCCGGGCCAGTCAAAATATTCTCCGGTCTGGCCTTACATGGCCGCCTTGTTCTCTAACCTCTTCATTCTGCTTTTGCGTTCAGTCTTCTCTCTCTTTTTCTCTTTCTCTTTTTTTCTCTCGAGCTCATCTAGTCTATGATACCACGGTCACGAAATTAGAATTTGAGAAGAGAAAGCTCGAAACAACAAGATCGATTCCGTGTTGGAACCCGGAAGAATCGAACAACTTTTTCTCTATCGTGGTCATCTATGACATAAGCAAGTCAATTTGTACTTACAAGATGAGGTGAATGTCAAAACTCCTGGATATATTCCTTAATGGATCTCTTTCTCTCCGTGAAGACCTTCATGAGTGTCCTCAAACTATACGAGATTTTACACTATAAGGATGGATGATATCCGGGGCTCATGTCATCTGGACCGTATGGTTCATTATTATCGGATCAGGAGTTCCTCCAGCTAGATCAAATCTGCCTGTCCCTCTTCTATCCGTTTTTCTCTCTCTCTATCTTTCTCGATCTCTCACAAAGTTCGACTCTCTCTTACATAATGTTAACTAGTCGTCTATTTTTCCCTGCAATCCTTTTCCGATACGGCCCAGTTTAGCGGATGAACCGACCGGAAACGGGTCCCTCATTCAACCCTCGTCATTCACAACCCTTCCATATACTCTCGTTTTCCCTAATTCCAAGTCTTTTTCTCACATTGCTCTGTAGAATTGAAATAAAAATTCAGTTTCAACTCTGATTTTCTTTTTTTCTCTTCTCTGTCAGTTGTTGTAACTATTGTGTGTTCAGAGGCTTTTTCGTCAAAACATCTTCTGCTTAAATGTTTTTGAATTTCATCTGAGTTGACATTGGCGACGAGGAAGAGATTGAGCTTCCTGGGTGGTTAGAGACTTCCAAACTAGCATTTATACTCGACGGGAGATCCACCTTAACTCTGAACCTCCACCTCTCTTCTCTTTGTTACTCATTCTATTACTTAAAATCTTCTTTTGGTCTATTTTCTTCTTCTCTGATCGACCGATCGAAAACCTTTTCTGGACGGTCGTACGCCACACCCGCGTGTCCCATAAATTCCTGGCCTAGATCCTGATCTATCCGGATACGGAAACCGGACTTCAGCCGAGGACGTACGTTAATGTGCGTTTGTTGATTCGTCTACACATTCATTTGCCTATTCCATTTTTGAAAAAAAAATTTATTTTTTCATGTAGAATCTGCTTCACAGCCTGACAATGTTCATGAGTTTAATATACGACTCGTGTTTTTCACCACCTCACTAGCTGCAGTCAACCCTTATTTGGATGATATATTTGCTAACTTTGAAAGTTTTTATCTTTGTCGCCTTGTCCACGAGTCCATGCAGCAGAAGCAAATGTTTCGCATCATCAACCAGCCATGCAGTCATTCAACAGCCGATACAGCTTATTGAAGTCTGGATGTCTGTGGATGAGCGAAACGATGTTGACGGGTCTGTCTTTTCTTTCTGCTTCTTCTTCATCGTCTTCATCGTCGCCTTCGTCGTCATCGTCGTCCGCGTCGTATTTTCTTTTCCTTTTTATTTCTTTAACGTCATCATGGTTGTTGTCTTCTACACATCAGCTGAACTGTCTCTATTTTGCAAAGCATATGCGTAGTGTATCTACATCAAAATCTCTCTCTTCTTTTTTTCTCTGACGTACTCTACCTCTATCTGTCTTCCTTATCTGTGTCTCTTCCTTTCTTGTATTCCTGTAGAATGAGGAGCGATCTAAACGGAAACCCGTTCAGAAATAGCGCATACACGCGGCGGGGCCGCTGACCGTCCGTCCGGTCGTCGCGATGTCAGATGCTTCATGAGAGACATTATATTCTACGCCGGAGACTACAGATGGTCTATGATTACGAGGTAGTATAAGTCGAAAGGAGAATCAAAGAGAGACGGCAACAGGCCAACCGGAATTCTTCGAGGATTGTCATCATCGTCGAATAGTAGTTGGCGTCGATGGCGGTAGAAACGTTGACGAGCCAAGAAGTTGAAGACTGTGTGTTGGGGTCAACCCTTCTTCAACATAGTTACACACGTCTTCTGCCGCTTCTATTTTTATTTTCTTCTTCCATTTCGCATTTTCTAAGACTTCCGTTTCCTGATAATTTATTTTTTTACCAGACGGAAGGAGCGTGATTGTGCCATTGTCATGTATGCATCAGAATGTGTATCAAATTGCGTTTTTACAAAAAATGAAAGTTCCATTTTAATCATTTTGCTTCAGTGATCCGCGCTTCATCACTTCCATCGCACACGTACGCGTTGCCCATATTGATATATCCATATCCATTTATTTCATTCATCTGCTGCTATTTATAAGTCGTTGCTGAAGTTGTATTCCGTGTATTTGCATGCCGTTACGTGAAAGTTCACGTGATTCACGTCACGTCTTGCGCCCTCCACCATTTCTATCATTGTCTACGTGGGGAACGGTTGTGCTTTTGATCTCCATCATTAACTTCTCATTCTTCTTCCTTTCTGCAACATTTCGACTTTCTGGAAAATTATTCCAATATTTTCTTGAAATCGGACTGCATTGCTTATTATTGCATACTTTCACCCTGCTTAATCGGCTCTGCTGCAAAGACAAAGACGCCAATGTCCGAAAGCATATCCGCCCACAAGATTGATTCGAAACATCAACTCGCCCTTGTACAACTCTTTATAGCTGACGTCTACGTCATGCCCTTCTAAAGGAAGTTCAGAATGAACGTTAGTCATTACCCGGACTCAACGTATCCGGTAAACAAGTTCCGTACTGGTTCATTAGTATAAATTTTGTGCTCACCCTGATCCTAAGATTATTGGTTCGTCTCCATTCATGTACTTTTCTCTTTGGTGTTGTACAGTTTTTATTGTTATTGGGGTGTTGTTCCATCTTGGACGCTTGTCAATTCTACAAGTCATCATCGTCATCATCTGATTCGCTCTGACGACATATGGACGCCAATAGTTGATGGCTATGCCTTCATTCTCCTCTAACATCATTGTCGAAGATGTTTTGTCCAAATTGAGTAAATCATTGTCGACTTCTGAAGCTGTTGCCATTGTCTTTGAATATCTCTGTGTGTCTCTTTAACGTATTCAACTTTAATACTCCTTTTTTGTTGGAATGTTTCTTATTTCACTGATTTCATCTGTCACTTGAAGATCCTCTCTTAACTAGTTTCTTTCCTGGATTTTGGTTCAGATGAAGGGTAGAGAAGCTTCACTTCACCAATAGACTATACGTTTTCTTAGAAGATGAACGGCTATGAGCCTAATATGGCAAAGAAGTCATCAATGAACAAGCTTCATCTCATGCTCATTATAGTTCTTAGGGTGAATGTAAAAAAAAAGTTAGCCGACGCGCCTACTTGTAAACACAGGGCGTGCGTTACAACCTTGTCTTGTTGTTTCCGGTATTTCCGTATTCGGAACAGGTCTCGCACAGATGCTAACTTACGATCACTTAACTAGAAATAGTATATTCAATGCGACTGAGAAGAAAGAGGTCACAAAACAGTCATTAATTGGAAGAAAAGTCATCCATCCCTTTAAAAAAAATTTTTTTCAATCATTTGTCTGTGTTCCGCCTATCGTCTCGTAATAATCATATAACTCTTTTAATATTTCTGTCTTGTCAGCTCATATTCCTCATCATGGCTTTCTTTCTTTGAACTATTTCTTTTGAAAGCAAGCCTTTGCATTGAAATTATCCAGTTATCACTTCCGTAGCTTCCTATCCCATTTGTTCATCATTGATTTTTTCCGTGACGGTTTTCCGTTTACGGAGAGACAACATACGATGATGTGATCAATCTGTCAGTTAGCCATTTCCAATCAACCAGTTCAGCAGTTCTTTTTCAGTGTCCAAAAATCGGATCCGATTGTCGCGTTTTCGTATTCTGTCATTTTAATCTTGCAATTTCACCTGTTATAAAGCTTTTGCTTAACAATTAGTTCGTCCATGTTCCGGACACGAGATGCCAGTTGGCATTACTGGGTAACATATTCAGCCAACAGAAGTTCAAGTATTGAGCGAATTGCCTACTTTCCTAATCACAAAGTTTATACACAATACACATTCCGTAAGAGCCTCGTGTTTTCCGTGGCCACCTTTTTTTCATTTTTTAATGTCAAATAGAAACCATTCCCAATGTCAGCACTCCTCTTCTCATAATGAACAACTCACTACACTTAACAAGTAACTTTGATGATTCTAATACTTGTGATTGGGCCATTTTGCCAGTTGATTCTCCAGAATAACTTGGCCAGTCGGTAGGCGGTCTATCGTTCAGAGAACACTTCTGTCCGTTTAAGGGCAATAGTCTTTACTTGAGTCCTAACGGTGGCTTCTTGCCAGTCCCTGAGCCACCCGCAACAAGATCTATTTTTTGTCCGTCTTACGTGGCATGAAACGTGGAAAACGTGAGAGCAGGAGACAAGGACTAATTAACATATAGCACGAGACAATTAGCATATGTGTGGAGCATAACAAGGATTGGCAGGTTGATTCTTCGAAATGCCGGGCTAACCAGCCACATAATTTCCGGTTAATCATTGGTCTAAAGAACAACTCAGGCAGTTTATTGATCAAGTCGAATTTTTATTATTTCTTCTTTGTTAGTTTAGTAATTTGTTTATTATTTCATTTGTCGGCCATTCTGTCACAGCTCGTAGTCGCTTGAGCGTCTCGTTCGAAGCAGAAACAGACGACCTGCTTGATTAATTCGAATATTTAGTCTCCTTTAATTACCAATTAATGCGTTTCGCAACATTTTTTGTACATTTACACACTGATCACACGCTACTGACTGGATAATATCTGTTCCAATTATTGTTTCCACTTTTTCGTATTAATTTTACCTTTTTTTAATTTTTATGGTTTTCGTTTCACTCTTCTCATATTCTGCTTTTTCAGTTTGTGACGAGAACGACGACGTGAATAGGCCAACACGTGCGTGATGTCGTTTCAACCGGCCTTCAATGCCCGTCTTATATCGGAAGTCAAAAAACATCCCTGTCTCTATAATCATTCTAAAAGAGGAAGTGGAGATACTACAGAGCGTATGAAGATTTGGGACCAAATTGCTATTCAAGTCGATCAGAACTGTACAGGTAATTCATCTTCTTCGCTCCGTAAATCGGAATCTCCGAAATTTTTTTTGTTAAACGGCCTCTCATCTCCGTTTTCATCATATTCCTCGTTTCAGGAGAATTCGCCAAGAAACGATGGCTACAACTCAGGGATCGTTACCGTAAAGAGCTGAAAGTTGCTATCCGTCAAAACTTTTCTCAGCCGGTCAGGTGGTGCTACTTCTCCCATCTGACCTGGCTGGATCCGTATCTCAAGGACAATCTGTAAGTACTCGTCGTTTTTTTTTCCAAATTTCCTATGCTCTCTAATGGTGCTGTTGGGAAGTAATGCGCATTTTTGGCAACCATTCTCCTATCGACATTTGCACTTTTTCTGTCCTAAAACAACTGTAGAGTAGTAGTCTGACGTTGTACGACCGGATGATGACGTTACAGTCATTCAAACAACCGGCACCAACTTTGCCGTTCTTTCACAAAACGTATTCTATAGTTATTTCGATCATTTTTGGAAGAGGGGTGAGGGCTAATGAGTAGAGGGAAGAGAGAAACAGCACAACAACATGTTTCTGATGATGGGCAAATACTTCGTTTTTTGTTCGAAAATCAAAGAGATCTTGAGAGTCTTTGAATCATGATATTTCCAGGGCTCTTGCCAATGCATGTGACACGTTGTCGGAATGTCTCGATTATACTAATATGGATCTTTCATCTCTTGCCCAAATAAAAACTGAAATTGATGATGGTTCGTTATATAGATGATGTACAACCAAAATAGTGTCTATATTTAGTATTAGGGATGGAAGACAATGAGTCGAACTCTGTACTCTATGAATCGTCTCTTGATAGAGTTCTGGCTGCTACTCACCGTCACGAAAGTAGATCTCCGGCTTGTGAGTTGGAACTAGCTTCGAACAACATGAACCCTCGTATTTGTAGTAGAAAATGATGAATCTGGTCCGCAATCGGTTGGGACATCTGGAGATGAGGATCGTGCGGATGTTGCTACAACAACAACGGAAAGTGGTGGAACAACTGAAGAACGAGATACTAGTACTGGAAGTATACGCGACAATGTTTCTGACCCCCTCCTGCAGGTGAGAAACTGCTCGGGAAATTATTCATACCCTTTGATTTCTCTACTCATGTCTTACATTTTAGATTCTGCAAACTACACCATCAGCATCAGCCTGTTTTTCGATCAAGGACCAGTTCTTAGCTCGCCAAGTTCAGCAGCAGCAGATGGCCAAACATATTTATCAGGTTCATAATTATTATTTATATTATGTGAAACATTTTATGTTTTTAATTATATTACTAATTCTGATCTTTGCAGCAATCAGCCAAATCTGCTTTGGACTGGATGAACGACGAGGATATGTTGTATGCGAGAATCATTGGACTACGTCTCAAGAGGATGGATCCTAAACGCAGACGGAAGGTAAGTAGATCCATTTCACTCGAGTCTCATTATGAATATTTAGCTTCGTACTCAAATACTTTCCTTGCTGGAAGACGATGAGTTGTTCGAGGACGATTCAGGTTCTCCTCCACCACCAGCTAAATGCCCAAAGTTGGAAGACGAAGGGCTTAGTTCTGAAGAGAAACGAATGAATGTCTCGAACGACAACTCAGTTTCCTCCGGTTTAGTATGAATCAGAAAACTCTGACATATACTGATCGAAAGGAATTCCTAGTAATGGCCGAGTGTAGTCAGACTGACTCCTAATTCAATTAATAATAATAATAATCAAGAATCCTTTCCGGTGAACAATTGGTCCGCGCCTTCCTCCCCCTCCTCATTTCCAGTACCTCACATTCTTACAAGCGATCATCCCCCTCAGCTTGAAACTCTCTGTATATTTATGGGTAAAGTGTGTTTGTTGTTAGAGTTTTTGGCCTTCCTGCGTTCCAAGGGCACAACCATTCCATTAGTTTCAAAGATCTTAGTATACAACTTCTTGTAGTTTTTAGTTGTGGTTCTTGCCCTTCCTCTTCCTCGTTCGCTCCTCTTCCTCATCAAACTGATCTACCTCATTCAAGTAGGATTCCTTGTGATAAATTGAGAAATCGTTCTTTCCCATGGAAAGAGCGAATACCTTTTCCTGTCCATTCAAACTGTGATGTTTTGGGTTTTTCACAAATTCTCTCTCTCTCTCTCTCTCTCTCTGTTATAGTTGTCAGCATCATCTTGCTGCGAATCCCTCTCACCCAGTCCTAAACAGATGTCATTAACGTGGCTTTACCTTAACTTTTAAACCCGAAATCAGAGCCAAAAAAGAAATTCATATCGATTAGCTGGCTTAGAGCCCCAATATTGGTCTTCCCCTAGATTCGTTTGAGATTATCACATCTTTGTTTTGCCATTTCAATTTAAAATATACTTGATTGAATTAAAATACCTGTGCATGTGCTTGCCTATCCGCAGCTTATCCACTTCACTTGCCTTTCTTATCCCATCGGGAAACGTGTATGAAAATGTATTAGATTTTTATTTATTTTTTTTTACTTTTTCAATTTGCATTTCACAATTGATATGGTTGTTTTCAAATCTTACTTTGTATAACGTACTGAGTACGACTTAAGTAGTCATTTCATAAACAATTGAAGCCTTTATCTCCTCTGAATATGTTTGAATTGATAACATCGGTCGACGCCCCGCTGCCCAGATCACTTCGTTAAGGTTGAAGGGGTTCAAAAATCTACGAGCAAAGAACCAGCGCCTATCTAAAATGGTCATAAACGATGCCTCTCTTTCCGCGATTATTCGGAACTTGCGGCTATCATAGAAGTTTTTTACAGATCCAAAGGTCGTCCTTGCATTGTGACTGGAAGTTGTTGAATGGGCTAGAAAGGTGTGAAGAGACCACCTGTACCTTGATTGGCCAGAACTCATAAATGGTGTGAAATAGCTGATAAGCTAAAAATGAGTCGTTATGGGGGCGAAAGGGTCAAAAGTCCAGACTGGGGTCGGAAAGGTATAGCAAACGAGTTTGGTTATTTGGTCCTGCCTGGAAGTCAGGCTCAAATACCTTTTCGTTGATAACACAGAGATACGAAAAGCATCATCCCTCATAAAGATAAGACTTTTCAAAATCACAAAGAGAGAATAAGCAAAAGCTATTCTCTGCTGAAATTAATAGCTCAATGTTAGTAACTGCTTATGATGCTTTGCCTAAAGACTGTGAAAAATCAAGAGAGGCTCCATTCCGAATACACACACATGATAAATCGATAAGGAATGTTTTTAAAAGTTATTTCTAGAGAAATGAATTTTAAAAATCATTTACGTTTGATGGATGATAACGTGAGCGAGTCACGTGACGTGAAGCGACACGTGGAAAGTTTTACGTGAAAATCCACGTAAACGATCACAAAACATTCGAACAAGTTGGCGTTGCATCATTTATCAGAAGCACGCCGTGTGGAAGGTTGGTCGGCCATTTCTGCTTCTTATGCTGCTTCGTAATGGTAAGTTTGTTTTAAACGTTACTTTCCGCAATTAGTGCGCCGTCAACTGTTCGCGCCTTACCCCCCGTGCCCCCCTGACTTAATCCGCGTGATTGTTATGTCTTAACAGATGGTTTAGCTTTAACTTTAGATTCCCTTATTGATTTTATGTGAAAGACAATGGGCAAACTAGTATTTGATACAGTTTTTCTCTTCTTCTACATTATCTTTTTCCTTTTCATTTTTCGCGACACAGCCTTGCTACCTTCGACTGATGTTAGCAAGCTACATGATTGGGGGGTTGTGTAGGAAGGAAGCTCGAGGTTGTAACGAAGATGGAAGCCTATCTCTCTCTCTCTCTCCTTTTGAATCATTTTTTGTTATTGCCAAATCAATAAGTTCTGGGAACTTGGGTCAAATTTCTTTTTTATCATTTCAAGAAGATATTCAAGGAGATTTGTTTGTTCCCTAGTTTCATGCTTAACCTGTGACCTTATCGGCATTGAGGTTATGGCGAACCTTCGGACTCATAAAATAATCCTTTAAAAAGTATTGAGGAAGTATTAATTATCAACTATCCTTATCTAAAAGTGAAATATATATAAGATAATAAAAATATTGATAGAGAGATCTGAGTGAGAACCATTTTCTTTTTTTTCGAAAATTCGTTATCTCGAGTGATAGTAAGATTAACCTTGCCATTTATAGAATCGCAGTCGCACAATTACCCTCACGTTGTCAGCCTGTTTCCGACAAAAGCAGCTCTCCAGTAAGTTTTCTTTCAAGCTCATACACATAGTCTGTGTGAATGTTACTTTTATTTCTGAAAACAGCTTTAACATGTGAAGATGATCACTTCATTTCGAGCTTACAGCTAATTTAGGATTGAAATATGAACGTGAGCCCCGGTTTTCCAAACAAGGAAGTAGAGCGAAAAGATATGATGAAAAGAATATAATCTATAAAGAAGGGAGCTTTTTCGAGAGACGAGAGAACGATTAAAAGATTTCAACAAAGGTACGAAACGGTTATAAGCTAATCATAAGCTCCTTGATAAAACGATTTCCATAATCAGCCACCGAACCATACGGTAATGAACTCTGAACTGTTTCAGACAGCATCTTACCTGGCACCAGAGTTCGAAGCAGAAGTTGCAGCAGTTCCTCAGTCATGCCTCCATTTTCATATTGTCGACCTCAGACGAGTATAACACCGTCAGAACAATGTTTCATTGAAGAAGGTTAGTATTTGGATTTCACTAGATTACATCACTAACGTTATGGCCTTTCTTATTTTGGGTTCAAAGCACATTTCTATCATCTCATGATCTGTATTGCTGCTTGTTCTTTAAAGTTATAACTGTAGCATCTAACATGGCGCTTTATACGTGTTGTTAGCTAACTTGCGCAACAGTGCCGATGGACTGCACTGTATTTAATCATAAATGCGCCAAAGCCCTTTATCTACCTGTTGCTACATCATCATCGTAGTCATGATTGGTGTTCTTAACGAAGAGACCTTGCCCTGTCGTTGACATCTTTCTCATTTTCCAAGTTATAGACACTTGTCGTTGAATCTTTTCCCATAATTATGACAAAAGGCAATTATTTTCTTTTCTGTTTTTTTTAATCATAATCTTCATTATCTTTCGAAGAACTTTCTCTTTTAAGCTTTGATCTGATGCTTTGCTACTGTTCGAAGCTTTATCAGTTTTATGACCATTTTCGTTTGCCCTTATCGCTTATTTTCCAGAGCGTTATGAGAATGGAACGAAAGTTGACATGAGATGATGCATAGTAAATAACGGGGAGAAAAAGTGCACAGATGTGCTTTTTCATTCGTTCACATCTTAAACCTCATATCGCTCATTCCAGACAGCTAGCTACTCCCTCCCTCTCGCTCTCTCTCTCTTTCAAAATACTGACATGACACTATATGTGTTTGTGTGTGTGTATATGTGACATTGTAAATACAAACATCATGAACATATAAATTGCTGACAAGATTTCATTGTTCAAAAATTCATTTTGTCTTACCTTACTCCCTTTCTCAGAAAACTGATCTGCTCATCTAAGTGTTTTTGTCCGAAAAATGAGAAATCAAATACGACTTATGCTGCCTGGCTTGTTTTGATCATTCTGTCGATCTTCTGTCTTTCTGCTTATTTCACCTTTCATCATGGAATATATTAGTCTTGAAAATTGTTGAGCAGCTACTTCCTGCATGCTTTAAAGCTATTGCCCTGATCTTCGTCACCTTCTCTTTACACCACACATGATGAGTCTCTTCTTTGCTGCTGGCAAGAAGCTTTGCCAACTTTTTTTTTCTCCTTTTCTCCTCTCTTCTCTGATAAGATGAATCTTTTTGCTGAAATGGCAGAACAAACTATCGTTTTTCTTTTTGGAATATTTAAGAAAAAAACTATTGTTCAAATGACCTTTTCGCCTGGCTCTCCTCCCATTTCTCTGCTATCTCTGACCCACCCTCCTACCATTTGTCAGCTTTTCGTATTGTCTCTCATCCATTGCCTACATCCCTTCTTCTCTTCCTAGTGTCCGCAACATACTCCGCAGCTCTCTCCCATCCGCAGTCCGTCGTCTCAGTCTAGCCATCTAACCCGCTTGCATAGCTAGTCAGATGGGATATCGTAGGGTTTTTGCTTTCAATATTCCACGTGATATTGCTATATTTAGTCAAAAGTTCGAAGAAAATGTCATTTCATGTAATTGTTTCAATTGACCAGGTGTTTCTTGTGTGTCGTTTATTCCCCGTCATCAATAACTTCCAGTTGGATTTACCTTCTCCTCCCATCCATTTCTTTCTTCTGTAAATTTCGTGTGGTTCAAATAACAATCTGTTGAACCATTTTTTCACCAATATTCTTCTCATTTCTCTTCCTCTCTCTCTCTCTCTCTCTTCGCCCTCTCTCTCTCTCTCTTTTTCTTTATTTCACGTTTGAATCGCCTCTATAATTTGGCGTTTTTGCCAACAGCAATCGATTATTCTCGTGATTGCACTTCTCTAAGAGTTGCTCGAAACAGGCAGTTCATCTCATCGCAGTCTTCATGAGACTTCCAAGACCTAATTTGCTTTTGCTCAGTTTCTCCGACATTTTTTTGATTTTCATTTCAATCGGCCTTATCATGACTCGACCCGAAGTATCAGTCAATATTTGTTTTTAAAAGATTCATTTCATTATTTTGCGCGCGGCCATTCGTTATATTCGTTTGTGACCTCTCTCTTCTTCATTTTCCCTTAAATAGCATTTTTGAATATCTCCAATACTTTGAGAGACAACCACGTTTTTCCCCTTTTGCACGTATTTTAGGCCATGCACATTGGCTTGCTATTCAACAAAAACTTATTGATTTGGCCTACGATAGTCGTTTGAGCGTAAGGTAGAAAATGCGAGTTCCTCAATTGCCAAAACTACTTTTCCCTCCCAACTTATTCAAACTCACTTTAAATTTTGACATTTGCTGAGAAGTGTATTGAGAGCAGCTGGTTCTTCGCGTCATTATCTGGTGAACTGAATCTGCGTTCATGTGTACCCAATGCCCTCAACAATCCTTCTTTTTCATTTTTCCCCCTTCTTCTTCTACTGCTGCTGGTGCTGCTGTTTGGAGCTGCTGAATTCTATTTTTTTCATGTCAAAAGAACAAACTCGGTAGTATTATGCTTGCGAACGTCGTCACACACTCAGTTGTATGCTTTGCAATTGCTTATCCAACCATCTAGGGCATTTATAAACATTTCGTATATGTATATCAACAAGTTGTTTATGAACGTATCATTACTTGCTTATTCGCTAAGATATCATTCTTCTTGACAATTTTTCTTTTTTAGCAATGGCGTCCCCGCGTGGGCGCACGCGGGTGTGCTTTGCCGTGCATGTGGAAAATATTCTTCCTGATGAGTTTGTTATGGTTGCTGGTTCATGCGAAGAATTAGGTAAATGGGATCCACAAAGCGCTATCACTCTAACACAAGACGCTGAAAATCCGTAAGTTCTCCTATCTATTGAACTGGTTGCTCTCAAGCGGCTGGGACTTTAGTAACTCTTATCATGCACGTTATCTGACAACCGACTCCTTACAGAACTCGATGGATGGGTTATGTCATGACAAATGATCAATCATTGAGTTTTCGATATTTTCTTGCTTATAAATTAAGTGGAGAGCTGGGAGAGCGTCTGATTATTTGTAAGAAAATGCTGCTATTCCCTCCGAAAAACCTTTTCGTATAGCGCGTTGGGAGTCATTCCTTCATCCTCGCTCGGTTCTTGTGCCCGCTGAACAAAGAAATGGAGTATGTCGATCGATGCAAGTTGATCTTTTCGGATATTACGGTATTTCTTGCGCTTAAATATTTATTCTTGATTTGTTACAGCTGGACAACGTTTGTTATCTGATGGATGGTTGCAACATAGTGATGAATACCAAATCCTCCTTCGTATCCACGGAAAGGCTCTGAAGTTCTTCAAGACTTCCAAAGATCGCAGTAATTGTCGAATCCGCATCACACCATTGGATGTTCGGAAAAAACATGTATGTTCGCTTACTGAGTACTTCCTCATATTTACTCGTTCGTGTTCAGGGGCTTGTGAAAGGCATTTCCATTTTGAAAAACGATCAGGAAGCTGAAAGCTGTGTTGATGAGGAAGATGATGATGAAGACACAGGAACTGGAGTATCTCCTTATCCAACACATTCCTCAACAGATATAGCTGTAATACAACTTTGTTATTCACTTGTGACCCAAATTTCCTTTAAGGTATTATCCGATACATCCCCAAGGTTCAGAAGACAAACATGTACTGGCGCCGTATTTAACAATAACAAAGACTATTTGGTGTTCAAAACACATTCAGTGGCTGTTGACTTTCTGGTAGAACTGCCATACCTCATTGTTTAAGTATACTGATTATTAAGGCATTCTATGTTGAAGTCTTCTCTGAGGAGCAAAAGCGTATTGGAGCTTGTTATGCTTTACCTGGGTCTTTGTCAGATAGTTTTGGAGCGACACAGCTTCCATTCATTAATTCATCGGGGCGCCCTATCGGTCAAATCTCAAGTAGGATTAGTAGAACAGCTAGTTACCTGATGATGATCTTACAGTTGAATATTTATTTGTACGCAGTCTCCAGAAGACTGTCCCTTATCAGACTATGGAGAAATCCTTCTCACGCTATTGGAAAAAGCGAACAACACTCGAAGTTGGTCACAGAGGAGCTGGTAGTTCATATACAAAGTAAGTTGTCCTATTTTTAACGTTGATTAATTGTCCCTATTAAAGACTAGCTATGACTAGAGAGAACACTGTGCAATCGCTAAATACTGCAGCCAAGAACGGCGCAGACTTTGTAGAGTTTGATGTTCAACTAACGAAAGATAAAGTAATTAATTTAATTTTCTAATGATTAATCCGTAATCTCTTCAAGGTTGCCGTCATTTATCACGACTTTCATGTTTTGGTTTCTGTAGCTAAACGTGGTGTTAATTCATCACGAATGGATGAAGGTGTCGATTATCACGAAATCGCTATAAAGGACTTGAAGCTGAACCAGTTAAAACTGCTAAACGTAAACATTTACATTTTTTCTGAAATCTGAGAGAAAAAACGTGTAACGCTTCCTCTTATGCGCCGAAATGTGAGAATTTTTTGAAAGCACAACCGTTCTCTGCGTCATTTGAAAATGAAATGATGTAAACTCCACGCGCCGTCACTTTAATTAGAATATGACGTAACGTGAACTCTGTGATGTAATAGTTCAATTTCAGCTCGATCATGTTAGCAAACGCGAAGCCAATAGCAGGACAGAGATTGAAGAGAAAGATGAAGGAGATGATCTGAAGCCATTCCCAACACTTGTCGAAACTTTAAATAAAGTTGATAAGGATGTTGGTTTCAATGTTGAAGTTAAATACCCAATGATGCAAACGGTTAGTTTTATTTGCCGGCAGTGGTTTGTGAAAATACACTTCCCCAAGGGCTTTCTCTCGTTTGATAAATCTTTTTGAAAAGGCAAGAAAAGCAAATTTTTCAGAATGGCGAACATGAATGTGATCATTACTTTGAGCGAAATGAGTTTGTTGATATAATATTGGCGGACATTTTAAATCATGCAAATGGCAGACGGATTATGTTCAGTAGTTTTGATCCCGATATTTGCTCATTGTAAGACATATTACAAAAGATTTTTCATTTACATTAATTGGTCATTTATAGAATTTCTATCAAACAAAACAAATATCCTGTACTGTTCCTATGTGTTGGCGAAACTACCAGATATACGCCATTCTCCGATCAACGAACAAGTACTAGTTTGACAGCTGTCAACTTTGCCGCTGGAGCAGATATTTTGGTTTGTTTTCTAAACTTCATTACCTGAACAAACATTTGGTTTAGGGAGTGAACTTCAATTCGGAAGATCTCTTAAAAGATCCATTCCCAGTTCAGAGAGCCAGTGAATTTGGATTAGTTAGTTTCGTTTGGGGTGATGATTTGGATAAGAAGGTTTGTCCTGGTTACCAATCATGGATGTAACTTCATTTTTCAAGGAAACATTGAACTACTTCAAACGCGAACTAGGAGTCGATGGTCTAATCTACGATAGGTTCGTATTTTTCAATGTAACGTCTTATCAATCGTTTCTTCAGAATTGGAGAAGAAGAAGGCCGAAGGAACGTTTTCTTAGTGGAGAGGGAGCAGAAGAGAGCCATATTCTTGGCATCATCTGGCCATAGTACACCAAGGTTAGTTGTTTTCAAAAGATTTTATTTCATAAACTCGTTTTTAAGAGCTCCATCTCCTGTGGATTCTGTCAGTTCAACATCTTCCAACTTCAGTGAAGTTGTATCGCCAAAGAGAGTTGACATGCCGCAATTGGATTTAGAAATTAATAAAATCAACATTCATAATCAATCTCCACGGGTACAGATTACTCAGTCTTAGGAGAAAAAGGTGGAGATGAGTAGAAGGTTCTCCACTCGACACATTTTTCGTCTGTAAATGAGAGATTTAATTATCGAAGTGTTCGCTTATTACAGTATTTTCCTGATTTATACGTTTTCAATCATCATCAGGGTTGTTTCATAAACCTTTCACTAGGATTTGTTTGATTGTTTGAGCTTAATAGGCTGTATTATTAGGCCTGTAATTTTCGATAAGTAAGATTTCAATGAAATTGTTGTCTTCGAATTCCCCTTTTTCGGAATTGTAAACACTTTTTTCTCGTCACTACTCTATGAGTAGAGGCATTCCCCCCTTTCACGTTTGTAATAACAGTACGTTTTAGTAAAATTTTTAAAAATTATTGCGCTTGTGCTTATAGTTGGTATCTATGACAACATTACTTCAAATGGAATTAATCAGTTAAAGGACTGCTCTTCATCAAATTCAAGAGAGCATAATTGAGCTTTCAGCTTATCAGGCTCCCACCGCCTACTATGTATATCCAAACGAACTTCCTGATAGTTTCTTCTTCACACCTTCATGGAGCGTGGGATAAGTGTTTGGGGATGGGTTATCGTCGTTATGGCTATTCCCAGCTTCTTCCTTTACATCTATATTATAACAAAACTAATCATTCATAAGTTTAAACAGAAGCAGTTCAAATCCTGCTATTACAATCTCGTGATATCTCAGGTTCGCAGCGTTCCGCAAGTTTTTCAATCAAGTTTCTCGAATGTTTTCAGGGTATCACAGATATACTCTCTACGAACTCCCAGCTGTTATTTGAAGTTGGATTCCAAACTGATTGGGTAATCTCATGCGATAGTTCATTATGTTTCCAGTTTAGTTAGCTAACATAGCATGGAGTCGTCGGGGAAGTCGATTAGCTGCTTGGAGTTACTTGCATCTCTTCGTGTTTTTTTTTGCTCGAACCTTAGGAATACTCATGATCGTTATACAAGTGTGGTTATCAGTCGCTCGACATCAAAGTTATATCAATAGAGTTCGCAAACGTTCTAAACTGCTACTCATCTGATGAGCATTCCAGCTATTGAACTCTATTCCAGCCATTTGTTTCTGCCTGTTTCATGGAACCATCAGTATGCTTCTTGCCTTTCCTATTATGTATGAAACGAAAAACCTATCATTCAAGGATGAGTCATTGGCATTGATCGTAGATGAAAAACAAGATCATGTTCGATCATCTCAAACAACAATATGCTCATTTTGTCGTTGCAGGTGATCTGGGGGAACATTTGGTACACCGTGTACTGCATTCTCGGCTTGTTTCTCTTCTCCTTGCTCGTTTTCGTGACGACAGTTAGAGTTTATTATCATAACAACAACGAGTTTGTTGAGTAACACAATACCAAGAGTAATTTTTTTCAAAGGAAAACGGCTGTGAAACAAGAAGAGAAGGCTCATATGCTCCATGCTGGAACGCTTCTTTTCCAACTTTTGTTGTCGATCTCCTACTTCCTGGTCACGGTCGTTGAGCCAGAAGATGATGTAATCATTCACAACTACTTCTTATAGAAATCGTGATATTTTAAGAACTTTCCTGAATCCTTTCAAGATCGCTTCAGTGCTTTCTCAGCTGTGCTTTCCTATCCAACTCCCTGGTTCCTGATCCTCTACAATCCTCACATAAGGTAGTTCGCATTTCTCTCCACTTCATAATACTCTCTCCACAGGAATTTCTTTCGCTGTTCTCGAAAAGAAACAAGAAAAAGGTATTTGTACACTTCTCAGTATTACTTTTCATTCTCAAATTTCAGGTCTGCAAACTCGATCACAGGCACCCATCTTGTAACTCCTAGTACGGGTGGACGAAGCTGAACATTTTTTGATTCGGGAGTAAAAAGTTCTCAATCTAGTGAGTCTTCAGTATCAATAACCTAACGATGCTGACTTCTCTTTTAGCTGATCAAGATCCAAAGACTGGAATATGAACCAAATTTCCAAAGTTTGGAGTCCAGAAATTAGGAAGAACTGTGCTCATTGAAGTTCGCCAAACATGTTTTTTGATACTTTTACTTGTTTGTAGCCATATATAGTTCATTGTAGTAGGATGAGATGAATTCGTTTGCTTTCAAGATGTTAATTATTCCAATTAATGGCGCAAAGAGAAGTGGGTGGGGTCCATTATCCAACCCTACCTTCGGTACAGATCATATGGGCTTCCATTCTAAGCTCCGCCCATAAAGCGATGTGCACCGTGCTGCAAGAGATGATAAGCATATAAGGATACTGTTATGCTAATTAGAGATTACGAGATGTACGATGAAAGACTAAAACTTGACATACAAGGGGAACAGTGAGGCGCAATCAGAGTTCCCAATTATGGCTGGTAGGTAGGAAGGTTTATCAAAACTAAGAAATTTATCAAAAATAAGCCATCACTAGGTATACAATGAGACTCAATGTTGCCTCTTTGAATGAAGTGTATCGAATGTATATTGCTACGTTGTCGTTAACATTTCGCAATTTCGACAAATCAAACTTTAACACTGATATACGCAATGTAACCAATGCGTGCACAGATAAGTGGGCGGAGCCTAATACAGGGATCTTTGAGGCAAATAGCGCCATTCTTTCCGATTACTTTTCATTGATAGATTGATAGACTTTATGTCGTTACCACCAAAGGGAAGAGGGTTGAGAGTTTTGTCTCAATCCCAAGCTAATGTCAGCGTAATCGTTAGTTTATCTTCCGGAAGTGTTGGAATAGAATGTTAATGACTTCAGGTTACAAATGACAAAGCTGGGTTTGAGGTCGACAAGTTACGTGAAAGTCTGCCTGCTGATGATGTGAGTCAACTAACCCTTCCTTGTCATTATTTCTTTCTTCAGACAGTATTAGTCAGAGAAAAGTCCGGAAAAGGGCTTTTCAACAGGGTGTTGTCTTCTCTCGGGATAATCAACAAAGGTATTGGAGTATGTTCCTTAGTTTTGTAGCTCTAGCTCTTCAGAAGAGAATGGTTTGAACAACAGACGCGCCAGTACCAGTGTTTTACCTGACGATTATTTGTACATAAAAGGTTAGTAATGCTCCTTGTGGTTCTTACCAACTCTATCATTCTAGAAACCAAAACTCCACCCATTCCTTTGGTCAACTTCAATTTGCTTGGGGCTTTCAATGACGGCACAACTACTCATCCAGATTTTGATAATGACATTCTCAATTACTCTTATCACATCCAAGTATTGATCTTCTCTTTCGATTCACCTAGAACAGTTCTGCTCAGGCGAGAAATCCTGAGAATCTTGCCAATGTTTTCAAAACGATTGGAGGGGAACGAGTCTTCTGTCGATTGGCTAACCATCTGATTGGTCTGGTCGGTATGGTACCCATGCCAACTGAAGTGATTTACTTGGCCAGTTATTACCTCAATCATACCATCGCCGTTAGTACTTTGAACAAGGTTACTTATATTTATCAATGATTTAGAACAATCCATTCGAGCTGAAGGATCTAGAAATTCTCGCTTTGGCTGCCGTTCAGTTAGCGGCGAAGGCAGAAAGACAAGGAGGCTTCGTAAGAAATCTTGGATATCGTGTGAACATGTCTGAGATCAATCGTTATGAGCTTCAGGTTCAGTCATCATTTGAATCTTATGTCAACTCTGATTTTGTAGATTTTGAAAACGATCTCCTTCAAAGTATTGCCAACTACAACTATTCAGTTCATGCGCATCCTATTTCCTACAGTTTGTGTAGCACCTGCTCCTGGTACTTGCCAGGAAAGTCAATCGATTCAAGGGACTCAATCTTCTTGGTTATTCGCGAAGTTCCTCTCTCAACTTCTTTTAACTAACACAACTTTAGCTAATCTATCATCTGCTTTACAAGCAGGTGTTGTAATGAAGCTTGTAACTCATTTATCCGGTCGTGATTGTTGGGTTTGTCAGTTGGCATATCCATGTATGAACCTGTGATTTCAGACCGACGTACACTTCGCCATCTTACAGGAAGATGCTAGCAAGTATGAAGAGAATATAAACATCCTCTGCCGCTTGCTGTTAGTTGCCAGAGAGAACCAGCACATCTATGAAGTGAGATCTTAGCTATGTTTATCTTCTTAATGAGATTATTAAGATTTATACGAGAAATGAGAAGATCGTCGAGAAAATAGTTCAACAACGAATGAAATTCTTGATTGAGAGAGCCAAGCAAGCAGCCCATGTGTCTATGTATGAGAAAAGAAAAGTAGAGTTCCGTGATAGTCTTTAATATTCTCCTGTACTCGATTGTCTCGTGAAGCTCATGATGCTTCTACCACCTGTTAATATTCCTCTACTGTATATACTTTTTTGTATTAAGATTTGTAAAAATAAGTTCTGTTTTAATGAATAGTTTTAACCCGTTCATTGTCATTTCCATACTTTCTGTTATCAATGTCAGATTATACTGGTTTAGAGTTGAATTTCCACATGTAGAATCCCGGAAACTTGACTTGATCAATCTTCTACGGGCGCTAAGTGGGCGCGAGAATCCGGTGTGATATGGAGACTCCTGACTTCGAGCCTTCTTAAGGATTCTGTTAAGAGATCGACAGTCATTCTTTCACGAGTAGTTTATATCTATCATTAGCGCAATTCTAAGTTTTCTTTCTTCAGACATGGGTTATATGCAGCCTGTCCTTTATGCGGTTTCGGCGTCCGCGGCCTTCGCTACTATCTCGGCCATTGCTTTCGTCATAACAATGTACAATGATATAACTAACTTCCAAGATGACATAACTAAAGACTTGGTTGAGTTCAAAGTAGGGTTGCGCTTCTAGTGCCTAGTTTACTTTACAAATTAAGGAACATGCTAATTTTGCTTGGGAGCATATGGTAAACTCTCAAGAAATGCGAACAGCTTCTGACCGACTTGATAGATTCAGAAGACAGCAGTATCAAACTGGCGGTATGAGTCTATAAAAAAACAATTGTTCATGGCCTCCTGTTCGTTCAGACGCCGCTGCTTTGGGAGGCATCACAGCTAAACCTGCAGCAGCAAAGCAAAAATGTAATTGTGGTACGGGTGTTGATTCGAAATAGTAGAGGTTTCCTATTTTCCAGGTCCAGCTGCAAAGAACTGCCCACCTGGACCCCCTGGACCAGCTGGAGAGCCTGGTGAGGATGGTGAGCCTGGGCTACCTGGACAAAATGGCAATGCTGGGTTAGCTGGAGAAGTAGAAGCTGACCCGATTCCGAAAGGTTATCTGTTTCGAAATCATTGGTAATTTGAAAAGTTGTAGATGAGGGATGTATCAAATGTCCTACCGGAGCTCCAGGTCCTGCTGGACCAGATGGACCTCCTGGACCCCCTGGACCAAACGGAAACCCAGGTACTGATGGAGCAGGCGGAGAATCCGGAGCTGCAGGACCTGCTGGTCCTCCAGGTCCTCCAGGACCTGATGGTCAACCTGGTGCCCCCGGAACTGATGGTCAACCAGGAGCTCCAGGAACTAAGCAAACTAATTCTCCTGGGCCTGCTGGACCTCAAGGTAGTCCAGGACCTGCTGGAAATGCCGGAGAAGTGAGTTTCTTTTATTTGATAATGCGTATGGTGGAATTTCTAGAATGCACCAGCTGCTGATTCACCACCGGGACCTGCCGGACCTCCAGGACCTGCCGGAAACAACGGCTCGCCTGGATCTGATGGCCAACCCGGATCTCCTGGTGCTGATGGACAACCCGGAAGTGATGCTGCTTATTGCCCTTGTCCTCCACGTACCGCTGTCATAAGCTCAGCTATAGAGGGAGCAGTAGTTTCTGTTGATGCTCCTACTGGAGCCACTGACGCTGAGATTGCTAGTTCAGCCTATCCTCTGCCTGCTGTAACTGAAGGTGTGGAGACTCCACAGCCTACTGCTCCTGCCGTTACCGGCACATCCTATTCACAAACTGGTTCTGCTTCATCAATAGATACAGCTTTACCGCTAGGTGGAGCCCTACCACCGATTCCTCAAGCTCCAACGCCAGTGGCTGAAATTCCAACGCCAGCGGCTGAAGTTCCAACGCCAGTGGCTGAAATTCCAACCCAAGCTGCTGAAGCTCCCACACCTGTAGCAGATGCTCCTCCTCCAGTTGTTGAAGCTCCTACACCAGCTGCAGAAGCTTCTGCCCCCAACTCTGAAGCTTCCGAACCAGTTGCAGAAGCACCCGAACCAGTTGCTGAAGCTCCCGTACCAGCTGCTGAAGTTCCCGCACCAGCTGCTGAAGTTCCCGTACCAGCTGCTGAAGCTCCCGAACCTGTTGCTGATGCTCCTGAACCAGTAGCTGAAGCTCCCCAAGGGCCAGTACCTCCTATCGTAGAGCCTCCTCCACCCATCGATACTAGTGTAGAATCTCCATCTTATAAGGAAGCTACTAGACTCCCAGAAGTTCCGGAGGCGCAACCTGCTGATGCCGCTCCAGTTCCTGAGGCCCAACCTGCTGAGACCGCTCCGGTTCCAGAGGCTGCTCCAGTTCCAGAGGCTGCTCCAGTTCCAGAAGCTGCTCCAGTTCCAGAAGCTGCTCCAGTTCCAGAGGCTGCTCCGGTTCCAGAGGCTGCTCCGGTTCCAGAGGCTGCTCCGGTTCCAGAGGCTGCTCCGGTTCCAGAGGCTGCTCCAGTTCCTGAGGCCGCACCAGTTCCAGAGGCTGCTCCAGTTCCAGAGGCTGCTCCAGTTCCAGAGGCTGCTCCAGTTCCAGAAGCTGCTCCGGTTTCAGAGGCTGCTCCGGTTCCAGAGGCTGCTCCAGTTCCTGAGGCTGCTCCTGTTCCTGAGGCTGCTCCTGTTCCTGAAGCTGCTGCTGTTCCAGAGGCTGCTCCAGCTTCTGACGCTGCTGCTGTTCCAGAGGCTGCTCCAGCTTCTGACGCTGCTCCAGAACCTGAGGCTGCTCCAGTTCCAGAGGCTGCTCCAGAACCTGAGGCTGCTCCAGTACCTGAGGCTGCTGCTGTTCCAGAGGTTGCTCCAGCTCCAGAAGCCGCTCCGCTTCCAGTGCCTGAATCTCAACCAGCCCAAGCAGCTCCAGCTGGAGGTAGTTACAATTCTCCCCCACCTCCTGCGGCCAGTGCCGACGGCTACCAAAAACTTGGAGTGAAAGCTCAATGAACAAAATGATCTATGGGCAAGTGCAATAGAAAACCATGAGATGACTAATAACAGTTTATTTAAAATCGTGCAATATTATTAAATTGTAATAAATATGGGTTATTTCATAAATTCTTTTTTCATTTCATGAGGTTGATAACCCTTGAAAATATCTTTCTGATATGGTAGTTCATACTGAACAGTAGGGGGATGAACATTAATCCATGGATCAAAGAAAGAGTAACGCAGAACATCAATGACCACGCGAACACCTGGAATTAATTAATTAGGAGGACTTGATTGAATGCAACCGCTCAGTGTGGCTAAGTTCTGGTAATGGCGTCTGGACTGTTTCTCTCACGTACACGTGACGTATTATGCTAATGAAATCTTACCTTAGCCATGTATAAATTAACAAAGAGAAGAGGTAGGGTGCAGAGATCAGTGGATAAACCAGCTTGTAACACAGGAAAACCAACTGAGCACAACGTGTGGCATAATCTGTAAGCAAGTTGAGAGTATTTGTTATTATGATGTGGAGGACTTGTGCTCTAGGTCTTCTTTTTCTTCATCATCAGAAGTGATTGATAAATCAGAACCAGAACTACTATCGCGCTCTATAAATGGATGTAAACTATTCGAAAGTTTGATTGAAAGATACTAGAGGCGAAGAAATGGAAGGATACGTGAGCTGGTATGTCAACACTGAAACCAATACACATAATAGATATTGACATCATCACAGGATCAAGACTAATACCAAACAGGCTTAAATAGCCGAAAACGCCTAAAAGATGATTAGTTTGACAGTATACAAATGTTTTTTTGTTTTCACCTAAACAGGTTGAGAGAATAGCAGTACTGACGACAACAACAGTGGTTGGATGAGATATGAACAGCATACAAACAAAGATTACGCAGATGAATGTAACAATCACGGATTGACTTGTAGTACTCGGGATTTTCTAGATACATTCAAATAGTTTATGCGGTCTCATACTACTTACCTCAAGTACGTCTAAGTAGAAAGCAGCATCGGTGAAAATGGTAGCATTAAATCTGAAAAGGTAGGACATGTTCGTATAATGATATAATTTCATACTCAGGATATTTATCAACTTCTTCTCTCCACTTATCCAGCAGGTCACCTCGCGCACTCCATTCCTGTAGCTCTTTTCCATGATATCCGGTACTGAACATGAACTTATCCACGTATTTCTCAGATGAACTACAGAATAAGAATATCAAGGAATTATTTCAATCGTGTTGAACATACCCATTTCCAATAGTTGAGGGACGTTCTTTGATTGAAAGGAATCCTCTCCAGAATGAATACTCTGGCCAGTTCAAGAAGTCTTCAATGGAAGATAAACTATCTGTAGAGTTGCCCTCCTCTTCTCCGAACTCTTCCTGAATGTCAGACATGGATTCCAAGAAGTCCATGTAATCCCTTAAAACTCAATCTATTACAAACTACAATGTAACGTTAAGGTACGTTAAGAAGAACTTGGAGCTCTCAGGTCCGATAGCGCTTGCCATACGCTCAAATGATTCTTTCATCTGAATCAGTTTCTCTACATTGGTCTTGTTCATAAGATCTCCAGGTTCATTGATAACAATCATTGCTGGATTATAGAAAGGTACAACGTCCTTGCTACGCATGTGGTCAATCTGGAATGAATGTTTGGAGTGTCTCAAATTAAATGTTAGGAATTACTTCGATTACTGGAGAATCAGGTGGGAACATTTTGTCCGAGGAAAGGTCAACATGAACCTGGAAGAGTCCATATACCGCTCCAGCCATATAGACAATCCACAAGAAGAAGCAAACAAATGATACTAATGGCTTCGTCCATTGATGAACATAGAATTTGGTGAATTTGGTCACATATTTTCTGATTCGGTCTCCATATGATCGCTGAAAAATATTTTCGCATATACTAAATGACCTCTCCCAATGTTCTACTTGATAATTCTCGACAGGCTCATCGGCGAGTAAGAACATTGACGCTGTGAAGAATGTTGCTGAAACAAGAGAAAATTCAGTTCAAATATTTCCGATTGGCGAATTACATTGGAAAATTACATCCATGATGATACAAGCAGCATTTCCGATACAGAAGATTCTGATTTCTGGTGGGGACGTAAATGCTCCAACAGCAAATGCCAAGATATTGGTGGCGGCAGATATGGAGATAGCTGCTCCACTGTGAACGAGTACCTTAAGAAGAGCAGATTGCGAGTTGTTTTTTTCATATTCCATACATCTGTTATTGCTTTTTCTCTCGATATCTTACTGTTAGTCATCATGAGACGATTCCAGGCATGTATCATCAAGAAAGAATCATCAACACTAATCGCCAAAACCAAGAAGGGTGTGATGCACAGTAGTGGAGAGAAGGTGATTCCGCAGAAAAACATGATGCCAAAGGCACAGCCACAGGCCATAAACGAGTTTATACAGGCAATAACGGACAGTATGATCTTCAATTAGCATATTGGTGAGTCACTCTTCCCTCTTTCACAAACTTTTCGGAATGTGGCTTGTTGACCATAAACGGTAACCCCGCTGATTATTGTCGTCAAGGAGCAGAATGATGTCATGATAGCAAAACCCACGAACATAAAGGGCCGCAATAAATCTCCAGATCGAACGATTTCTATCAAAAGAATAATTTTCGCTGTTTTTAATGAGGCGAACCTTTCTCTACAATGGCTGGTGAGTAGACATGTATCTTCAGGTTTGAGCTATTGTATGATCTGAAAGAAAGTACACGTAACTGCCATCACATGAGATCCTTTACGTGTTAAAGTAATGACCTAAGTTGATTTCCCAATCCTTCACCATCTGCTTTGTCCATGTTTTATGCTTTTCCGCTCGGAAATAGAGGACAATAAGAGAAACTGATTTCAATGTGCCATCCTGTTCTGCTTCCACACCGAAATAGTTAGGCTACAAAAGGTTTTTATATGTTTTGAACTGAATGTGTTTGTCTGGATACCAAGAGACTGAATTCTCTGCCAAACATGGAAGATGTTGGATAAGCCAGATGAATTCTTTGAGATACGGAATCTGTGTCATTCGAAGACACTATTTGTATGCCATTCTGAACATTCTTTTGTGTTTACAAACAAAGAGTCTCGGACTTACATAATACTGTCGGACTGGCTCGTTTGCCTGACAGAACCCGTAGCAAAATTCCTCAAATGTTTCATTTCTTCCTTTCTCCTCATTGAACATGGGAAACTGAGTTGAAACCAAATCAATTATCTGAGATTAAAACATTGAAAAACGTTAAGTTGATCTTTCTTCCTACTTTGACAGTTTCTTCTAGTTGCGCCGAACGAATCATAGATCCATTATCATTCGACTTTAATAAGATGCCTAATGATATACCTGCTCCATCAGAATTCAAAAATTGCTGAAATGGATATCCTATTCAATTGTTTCAGTTTAACTAAACTATACTTGAAAACTGTTAAACTCGACTTTTGAGCGCGCATCATCACTGGCATATCCATCCATTGCACTCACTTCCCTGCAATCGATAATTTCAATTAGCATAATTGCCAGGTTCACTCGTGATTGTTTTCATTTCATTTCAAAAACGCGCGCAGTACGGTTGCTCCTATTCAGCTCTTATCAGTTATTCACTATTCAGTAAACTTACGGTGTTCTAGCTACTTTGAATGTCATCAAGCCCGTGAAGATCAAACATATAGCGATTACTGTTCGAGGATATGATGAGGATATTGTACCAAACCAGTGATACATAACGTCGCACATCCTAACCAGAAGCGGCGCAGTCGTTTTCTCTGCTGTCATCTGAAGATCAAGTAAGTTCATAAAATTTCAGAAATCATATTGGTTTTAGTTTCAGATAATAATGTTTGGAAGAAGAAGCTGAGAAATCTAACTCTTTGACTCCTGATGTTGTACGTAAGAGGTAACGTGATACTTTGATCAAGGATGGATTAAAAAATTATAAGACCGGTGGGGAATGGAATAAGAATGTTGTAAAAAAATAAATGTTCAAAACACGACGCGTCACAGATCGTTGATCATCGACATCGTCGAACTTCTGTTGGAATTCAGATGGCTACAGAGAAGGCAAAGAGAACGTCTGTAGGCTGCCTCATCAAAATTGTCGGGAAGGCATTCAGGTGACGACTTGATGAAGAGTTAAAATGAGAAGTGGAGAGAGGGAAGATTGTAAAGAACTGGTTGAATAGTAGCTCAACAGTAAGATGAAAGACATCGTTTCCTTCCACTGTTTCCATTTTTGGTCATTTTCTACATGAAGATGTTAGTTTTAGGTAGTAATGGCAAAACAGAATGAGAGCAGTGTACAACATGATTTAAATGAAATTAAATTCGAATTAATAAACTTTACAGCAATCGGCATGATGTGCAATACGTCTGACAGTGGCAGATATGTTCTCTCTGTTATGATTACGTGTTTCTTATACGCAAGATGGCACGATGAAACTTAGGAGAACTTATGATAGGGCAAGTTGTTTTCAAAGTGCAACGTAACATCTACAAGACGATTTGGCCCAATTCAAATTAATCAAGAAGAGGAGACTATAGTTGGAAGAAAACAAATTGTGTCTATCAATTGACTCTCGAGAAAATAAAGAATGAAAAAGAAATGTTGCTTCTTATGAACTCTGCCTGTTCCATCATTGAAGTATTTTATTTGATTATAAAAAACTGAAATACCTTGTTTAGCTTGTAGTTCCAGCCTGTCCTTTTCCAAAAAATTTCTTTTTTCAGCTGGCTTCCGAAACATTGTGTGGAGTTTCCTTATAAGGTGATGAAAGGTGGGAGGGTGCTGGCGGGCGAGGTAAATGTTGCTTAATTCTCCAGAAGTTGATGTTGTTGCAAAAATATGAAAAGAAGTCTGGAGACTGTGTGTGGCGGAACGTTGACAACCTGTTTCTGTCTTGGCGTTCATTGTGGGGTCAACTCGTTGATGGTGTGAAGAACAACTTCAGAAGAGTCTGATATGACGTGCAGGAAGAATTATTTCTTATGACATGAAGCACGGAATATATCGGTCATGAAGCCGTTGGTGGCCCTAAAGAGGAAGTACATGCAGTAGGTAATAAACAAAACTTGAAACTAGTTCAATCCAAATGTTCCAAAGAGCACGTTGAATGTTTAAACTCATTAAGCTGGCCAGGATTTGTTTATTGTTTTGTTTTTAAGCTCTCCAAAGCCCAGCACATCATAACCTGTTTCTCGTCCACTCCGCCAACAAAATCAGAGAACGATGGCTCATTATCCAAATAGGTTTCATTACTATTATGAAGTTTTATGTGGTTTTAACCCTCTGCGGCAGTTTCTTCAATTATTCATGTCTCGCTCATCCATATAAGGTTTGTGAAAGATGATTCTAACTATGAGTGAATGACTTAAATCTTTTCAAGAATCAGATGGTTCCCTCACGCTCCATGAATTCTCATAAAAACCTGGAAGACATTAAAGAAGTTTTCAATTATTAATCATCATAACTATCTTCTTGTTCTTCAGCTTCTGTATTTGATGAATCTGAAAGCTCAACCAAGCAGAAGAGCTGGACTATACCAACTCAAACCTTCAAAAGAACTTCAAGTGATTATCTAATTGAATCAACCATCATTGCGTAATCTTTAGGAGCTATTAGACAAATATGATGAAATGGGTTTCAACCCTCCTATAACTAATGATTCGGTGGAAGCAGATGACTATCTCTTCCAGGTTTCATAACATATCAATTAGTATGTTACTTTTGTTCAGGGCGATATTTTATTGAACAAGAAGCAAGCGCAATTACTCGCACGTGTACCAGTTACCGATCAACTGGAAGACAAAGAAGTTTATATGGTCGTTGCTAACACACACTGCTGTCTCGTTTTCTTTTAGAACAAGCGAGTTACTCGACAAACCACAACTTTTCAAGAATTATGGAATAAGAGGAAGCCTATCCTCTATGACGTAGAATCAATGAGTTGAATGATGACCCATAGGAGAGCAACTAACTTCGCTCTCTCTGTTCTTTCAGGCCAATCGGTTTCTGTCCTTATTCGCAGAGTTATTGCATTTTGGATGAAAAATTCTTGTGTTCGATTCCGTGAAACTGATTCGACTGCTTCACTGATTCGTTTCGTACCACAGTCCGGTATATTAGAAGTTCGAAATATCACGTGATTTTCACGTAGTCTTGTGATGTTTTTATTTTGAGTTGTGCTTGCTCGCTGAACGGTCGCTTTTTTGTTTTTCAACATTTTTTCCTGCAATTTTCAATTTTCATTTAAAGGCTGTTGGAGCTATGTTGGACATCAAACCTCTTGGAAACAACAAGAAATCAGCATCGGGGAGAATTGTGACAGCGTCAGTTGATCTGTGTTTGTAATGTTATTTGAAACTAATGAATCATTTTATAGTTTGGAACTGTATCACATGAAATAGCTCATGCTTTAGGCTTCTTGCATACTCAATCGAGAGAAGACAGAGATGATTTTGTGATGATTAACTTTCTCAATATTGATCCTGAACGTCTCGGAAATTTCATGAAAGTGCGAACAAACATCAGTTGAAGTTTGAGATATCTCTTGCAGGACAGCGATTTATGGGAAACTTTTCGATTAACTCCTTATGATTATGGTAGCGTCATGCAGTACGATCCATGTGTGTGACAACCTTTTGAAGCCTATTTCAACTTCCTTTCATAGATGCATTCGCCATAAATAGAAGAATACCGACAGTTTTTGCGAAAGACTGGCGCTTTCAAGCTACAATGGGACAACGTGCTGCTCCGTCGTTCTCTGATATCAAAGCCATGAATCTTCTCTATAAATGCGATGGTATTTGTTCTCTTAACCGCTACAGCCCTTCTATTTTTACAGAAAAATGTAAAAAGAAGGTAAATTGTACGAATGGTGGATACCGAAATCCTAAAAAGTGTAAAGTTTGCATTTGTCCTCCACAGTTTAAAGGATCAACATGTTCAAACTTGAACAAGGGCCAGTTGCCCATATGCAATTCTAAACATTTGAAAGTGAGCTGTTGTATAAGCGATTGTTGTCTCGTATATATGAATATCAGGCGAACGAATCGTGGACGTCATTTACAGGCTGTTTTGGCTCATCCGAAACAATGACCAGTTTCATGGACTGTAACTATCTGATTGAAGTACACGAGTCATCATAATAAATTGACATGATGTCACTCATATTTAGGCTGAGCCGGGAATGCGGATTCAGTTAAAGCTTAAATTTCTCTCATCACCCTACTGCTACACCTCTTGTCCTTATCAGGCAGTCGAAGTATATGAGAAAAACTTTGATGTAGCTGGAATGAGGCAACATATCTGATAGCGCCCTCTTCACATGTCACCCATTTCAGACTGTGTTGTCGTGTGCGAGAACTCACATTCACAAGCGAGTCTGAACTCTTTTCCATTCGCGGCTTATCTAGATATGGCAACGTTTCTTTCCATGTATGGTACACACAAATAGGAAAGTGAAAGGAATCATTCATTGAGAGACGAAAGGACTAATTAGTTGATTCTAAAAAGACTGTAAAACGATAATCAAATGATGAAATATATTATTTACAAATATAAACTATTCGATATACTTGAATGTATACTTGGAATGTTTGTTTTTTGTGCTTGAGATGTTTGTTTTTAGGACGCTGATGAGAAGTAAGTCACAGCATCATTTCGATTTTCAGCGGTTCACTCTCTGCACAACTTTCTCTCTCTCTCTCTCGTATTGACTCATAATCTTTCTCTCTTACTACTCTTCTCTTCCTTCCTATTAGTAATCAAACACAGGAGCTGCAAATTAACTTTCATAATATTATGAAATTTCTATAATCATCCACTACATAAAGGCGCGCCCCAATTACCGGCTTTGCGCGCCATTGAGAATCATTATGAGTCAAAGCTCTCTCATTTGAATTTGCAGAAGCTAGCCGAGCGGTTGAACATTTCATAATTGCAATTACTAACCTTATTGACTTCTCTCTTTTTATTGTTTTATTTGATGTGTGTGGGGTTGATCAGTTATATGGAGCTTTTTGATTGTTTTTGTTTGTTGATCTAACGAGTTGATAAGCCTTGATAAGAGATACGCTTAGTATAACTCGCAAAAGCTTTTCTGGCTGGTGTCGTCTATTTCACATTCTCATTATTTCTGAATGTTTTCGTTCATCGATTTTTTCAAATTGTCCATTCAGTGTTCCAAATTTTTTGACAGATTGATCACCTGACGTGCGATTCGGCACATCTTCCAAAACTTTAATTCTTAATCATTATATTTCCTTATCAACCTTTATCGCTCTTGTTTCATAGTGTTTTTTCCCGATTTCGGCATAACATTACCTATTCGATCATTGTGTTTTCAATCCGATCTCCCACGATATTGAGGAAAACCGATGAGAGAAAGAGCTTGAAAGAACTGTTTACAGTTATTCGCTCTCTGTTGTTTTCGAAATTTCGTGAGGATTAGCATTTGTTTTCTTTTGATGCGAACTCCCTATCTCTCAGTATTATTCTGCGAACTGAGAACCTTGAGCGACTGTAAGAGGGTCATTGTTTCGTTTTCCGAATCAGCAATGTATTAATTTTCCCAAATCCAGCCATTTTAGTAGGTTCATTGTACTATCGCACTATTATCGTCCTGCATCTCTTGTCACCTAACCTCTCCCAATGGCAAAGTATATCTGCGGATGTCGACCTAATTGTCTAAGAACTGGGAAGACCGCATGTTCACATATCCTTCAGCCTTCCCAACGGCATACCAGTTTTGGGTAGACTATGTGCATCTGTTGTCCAACGTTTGCGGAGGGAGACTCTGCTTCTCTAACTGCTCTCTCTCTTCTGGGGGCGGAGCCCACATGCCCTTTCAATAGATGGCCAATCGATGGCTGCCTATCGCGCCGCCACCGCCACGCACAACGCTGCTACCGGCTACTACGACCTTTCTTGTTTAACCTTTCAGTCTTAGACAGTGGCTTCTTCTTCTGGCTTCTCTTTGTTATTCCAACTCTGTCGTTGAAGTAAAGTATATGAAGTATCGCAGATAGATGGCGCCTCGTTTTGATAAAAGATTTTTCAAATATCAGAGATTTATTTTTCTGCGATAAGACGCTACTGTCGGATTTTTTAATCTTACTGTTGATAATGTATAAGACTGAAAATAAAAGGTTTTGAATGCAATTGAGAAATCTTTTTCTTGTTCGTTCACCCAACAACCACTGATGGGTGCTGAGATTATTTTTTCCTATCGATTCGTTTATATCTGCATTTTCAGTCGTTCAGTCCATAAAGCGTGATGGACGCCTTTTTTTTCCTTTTTTACATATTTTGTTTTGTACCAGGGCTGTTGAACTGTTTGTTCAACTATCGTTGGGTTGCATACTCCACATATTATTCAAACCGGGTTTTTCCCCATCTACTTATTTTCCTCTCTTCATAAAAGATGTCAAATGACGGTGTCAACTTCGTCGTGCACATACTGATTCAGTTTACCTTCTCCCTTCCCATCTTCATTTCTTTCTTTTTTTTTTTTTTTTCATATTCTCGTCCTTTGACCTTAAATTCACTCGTTCACTAGTAACAGATTTTCGTAGGCTACTAACCACAGCACATTAATTTAGCGTTGCTTGGCCACCTGGTCGTATTGCCTCTGTCTTGTACCTCACTATTATGTGTAAAAGGACTGTTCCAAATTTCTCATATTTTCCAACTATATGTTTCGGACACTATCACAAAGTGTAAGTTAAACAAGAGAAGATTCTTGTCTCAAAGCTCGATCACATCTCGTCAATCTTACTCTTGTCTCGCTTCATCTAAATATATCTCCAATCGTATGCATCTTTCTCTCTCATCTTACCTACTTTCTTTTCTTTTGCTTTCTTTTCCGTCTCGCTTCTTTCTCTCTTTCTCGCACCTCTTTTCCTCCTTCTATTCTCCACCTCTCATCTAATTCTCTCTTTCTATCCCTTTTCTCTATTCCTCATTCGCTCTCCTCATGACCCCTGTATTGGGAACCAGATGCGGACAAAGCTCAGCTGCTCTTCCGTTCTCGTGTCCACCACTCTGGCTGTCTAGTTCGATCCCTTTACACTCGATATCGAGTTTCCCTCACTAGTTTCTTCGTCTTATACTGCGGCTGTTCCTTCGTTTAAAGTCAAAAAAAAGTAGAAAAATGTAGCCATCCGTTATATTTTTGCGTTCAAATAAAACTGTAAAGTTTACTTCACACGCACACGCACACCCTCTTATAAATATATATTTCGTTCTTATCATCGTTGTGAATGACCTTTTTTGTGTTAACCGCCTCCTTTATCTATTGTGTCTTAAACTCCACCATTAATTATTTTCTGTTTTCAGCGCAGAAGATCGCGTAACCCGGGAACGTGAGCGCAAATTCCAACTGGTAACATCAGAGCGCCGAAAGAGCAACAGCCAATAGAAGAGGTCAAGTATGTCGTCTGAAAACAAAAACGAACAAGCTGCTGCTGCCGATAAGAACGAAGTTCCAGCTGAGAAGAAAGTGAGTCTCATATTTCTTATATCATTATATATACCGTTTTTGTCTATAGGTAATCGCCAACGGTGTTACTGGAACTGTCAAATGGTTCAACGTTAAGAACGGATACGGCTTCATCAACCGTGACGACAATAAGGAAGACATTTTTGTTCACCAAACTGCCATCGCGAACAACAATCCCAAGAAATACCTTAGAAGTCTTGGAGACGGAGAAGAAGTCAAATTCGATGTTGTTGAAGGTGCTAAGGGCCCAGAAGCGTCTAATGTAACTGGACGTGAAGGAGGACCAGTAAAGGGATCTAAGGTAACTTAAGAAACATGTATCATCTTTCTATTATCATCTTCTTTAGTATGCTGCTGACATTGATGGAGAGACCAATGGACGAGGATACCGTCGTAGGGCTTTCTATCGTGGTGGACGTCGTGGAGGTCCACGTGGAAACGGAGACCGTGATAGTGAAGCAGAACCTCAAGGAGGAGAAGAAGTAACGAACTGTGAAGCTCTGATATTTTACAATAATTTTTTTCCAGGGAGGTCAACGTAGATCATTCCGTGGTCGTGGTGGACGCAGAGGACGTGGTGGACGTCGTGGTCCCCCTCGCAATGATGCTGGAGACAGCAGCGACGGTCAAACCAACGACAATGGAGAGAATTCTGATGGCGGTAACAACGGCGGACGTGGTGCTAGACGTGGTCGTGGAGGCCGTGGTCGCGGAGGCCGTGGTGGACGTGGTGGACGCGGAGGAGATAAGGGAGAGAATGCCAATCCACCTGATGTCAAGGCATAAGTTATTTAAAATCTGATCGTGTGAGCCCTTTTCTTGTCGTTAAAATCTCTTTTTAATGTCAAAGTAGATGTATTTTCCATTTTTGAGTACCCTACGTCTCGCAGACGTTGCAATCGAATTCCCCCACATTGCCGTAGTAAGACCAGCTTTTTTTTGATGTTACCATCATACTATCATCCATCTTGGGAGTGTTATCGTACACCTTAGTTAAGTGAAACAACAGGAGAAGTACATTTTTGGCATTTCCCAAAAATCTTGGGTACTTTTTCTGTAATTTCATCTGTTAACCCATTTCCCCGACCCCAATTTAAAATTGTCAGCTACTGTACCGTGTAATTAAACCAAATTATATCACCATCCGCATCTAATGTTGCTCTTGAAAACAATAGTTTCCATAACCAACGTGGAAAGAGCTCCATTAACGTGTAAGTAAGAATGGAAGACCCGAATATCTCTGCA